CCCCCCCCCCCCCCCCCCCCCCCACAAAAAACAACGGTCTCATTCGTTAGCCGTCCGAGACAGGATTCGACGAAAAACGAATACAATAGCTTATCACCTTGTGGTCCCGTTATCTTACAGACACAGTCAGGGTCCACTGTGACGCATTTTGTACACATATGATGCATTGCACTTAAGAGCCTAGCAACGTCGTGCATTCTTTTTACGTGACGAGGCTTTTCATAGTAGTAGGCCCACAACAATGTTAACACAGGCCCACTTGAAATATTTGTGTAGCCGTGCTCTCGACCCCTGTTTTGCAAGCGGGAAGGAAAACTGACACACTGTAGGCCGATTTTTTGTTCTTGTACCTGTACGGTGCGGTAGTCTGACTATACCTTTTTATGCCAATATAGTCACAATGATTTTAGAAGGTGGGCAGCTTCAACCGTGTCCCTAAGGGCCTAATCAGTTTCAGTATGTTTTGGTTTTAGAAAGAGTTTTACGGCACTTGCAGAACAATAAGGTCATATAAGTGCCAAAGATTAGAGGTGTTACAAGCGAGTTACGAACACAAAAAAGGAGGGGAGATCAGGACGACAGATGTTTGATAGAAAAGAAGGAGCGAAGTAAAACCACACCAGAGCACCCGCCAACCACTCACTTGACTCAGTATGTTTAACGGCACTTGCAACACAATAAGGTCATCATATATATATGCCGAAAATTAGAAATGTTACAAGAGAGTAACAAACATTAAGAAAAGGCAGATAGATTATAAGGATGATAGATGTTTAGTTTGATAGGACAAAAGGAGCAAACCACACCAGAGCACCCGCATGGCCCTCATCAGGCAGAGTGGGTCACTGTGTATTCCGACACTGTACTGTAGTGATACGAGGCAACAACACATTTCATTAAATGTAAGGAACATAGGAAAAAGCAAGAGATGTCACTTTTTGATAGTTCGAGTTGTGGAGTGGGTTGGACTGGCAAGTGTTTACACACTTCTTGAGGCCCATCGAAGTGTCCAGGGCTAAAACTAAAACCTGATGAGTCACCCAATTATTACACATATCAGGCTTGACTTGGGCAAAAAGCGTGACTATAGTAAAACTCGGGCTGTCAAAATTTCATTTTTGTTGTTCTAAACTCAAAATGCCAAAAAGTGACATCTTTCGTTTTTTTCCCTGTGCTCTTCAACTGAATTCAAATATATGCAATGCGATTGTGACAGACTTTCTTTCTGGCCTTCCCCCATGGCATCGTTCGTTTCTCAACTTTTGAAGATTTCAAATTATTTCAATGTGTTTGGAGTGAGACAAGTGAGAGAAACAACTCATAGTTTTGGTCTAACGCCCCTTGCAAAAGCGTAAGGTTAAAAAAGACAGGATCTCCTAAAGTAAATTGTCTATCTCTGATTGGACTAGGAGGACCAGAATTGAGTCCGAGTCCAAGTAGCACGGCTATCGATGTGCAATCCTTATGATGCCTGATCACATAGGTTGGTCGCCTTCATCTAAAATGTCTGAAGTACTGTAAACAGATGAGCCGCACGTCATCCAGCATGAATACAAAACAACAGGGAAACATTGAAACATGGACCGAAAGGGATTTCCCTTGTTGTCTAAAGATCAACAAAATTTTGAATTTTTAAAAGCCTGACCACAAACCATAATAACTTAATGTTGAGAACAAAGAAAAAAACAACAATAACAACCCAAAAGAACCCCCCCCCCCCCACAAAACAACAAACAAACAAACTAGTAGTCATACATTTTGTGAAAAGCTTGCATGTATTGTTTATTGGATTAAATAATAATTACATGTACAATGAGATTGTAAGAACGAATGTGAAAGTAGACGTGGTTCAAAACAACCGGAACTTTGTGGCCATTGAAAAATATTCATTGGATAGTATTTTGAGACGACCAGGCACATTGTACTTGTACGTTTTTTCTTCATCACGTTGTAAAAAAAAAAGAAAAAGAGTTAAGTCCATCGTTCTTCACAACTGTCAACTTTTGTGTTCACATCCCTGTTGTTACTGTTTCCATCCTCAGCAGGAGCAGAGCTGCCAATCATGCCTCTCCCTAACTAAAAGTCTAAGCCTGTATTTCCTGTGACCATGATCAGTTCTCACTCATTGACACCACAAAGCACAATTTGCTGATGCAAGAGCACAAAAATTTGTTGAGACAAAAGCACAATCTGTGTCAAAACAACACTGAACTCAAGCAAGAAAAAAACAGGAAATATGCCTGCCAAAACCTACTTTTGCACAATGAAGAAGTTGTTTTGTGGCTTAATCAATAAGATATTTTACATTTTATAACTGAAAATAGATTTACCAAAACAAACTGGAAGCAAGTTTTATAAACCGATTAGGCCTACATTTTCGGATCGTTGTTACACGATTTTTTTTGGGGGGGGGATCACAGATACATTTTGTCTGGACCACTGATGACAAGCTATACAACTTTATGATAATGATCCTTCACAAAATTGGTAAATGCCTCTCTCCTTCCTTCCATCTCTCCATTCAAGATCTCACATAATTTTCACAAGAATCAATGACAGAATCTGTGGCAGTTGGCAGCTCCGCATCGTGATGGAAAAGTTCAAGATCATCTACTACAAGCTTTACCTTATGGTACCCACTTCAAAGTGAGCTCAACAAATCAATACAAAAACAGTATGTACTAAACAAAACCCGGTGACTTGAGTGCACCCACAAAGCCCATCGTGTTCACACCATCCCCGCTGTATACACAAAAGAAAAGCAAGGGTCTGCGCAGCAGTGTCAGACAAAGGCAGCTGAGTTATATGAAGCACATGTAGTAGGCCTTAGACTGCTGTCGGTAACTGCTGGATCAACTGTCCAAGTTCAGCTTCGGACTGCACTACCGCTCCCACCCCTCCCCACATCCTAACCCCCAGAAACACGCACAGTGGGCACCATTCTTTTGGCGTCAGGACAACCTGTAATTATAATTGTAGAAGTTACACCCCCCGCCCCCCCTTGACACTACTTAAAGGTAGTTTAGGAGGCGGGATGCTTCATCCTTGCCTGTCAGGGCCAACCCAGGCCCAGAGGGATTCAACATCCCAGCAGAAAGACGGACATACTGAATAAAAATTCTCCCCACATGGGACCCCAACTCTTGTCTTTTGCTTGCTATGACGAAGCACCTAACCACTACATCACAGATGCTGATAGGGACAACTTAATTGTTAACTTAAGCAAAATGTAACCAGAGAATAAAGCTGTCTATAGCATGATTCTAAAACAAACAAGATGAACTGAAAAACTAATGAAGATCACCAAAAAAAAAAAAAAATTTGGGAAACACATACCAGGTAGTATTCAAACACCTTGATATAAACACAACCCAAAACATGCAGGAGATCAAATTGCAGACCCTTCGGTGATTAATAATACCAGGAGAATTTTCGTGAATCTAAGACAAAAGGAAGCTGAATTTCAGAACGAAAAAAATAGTTGCCTAAACACCACTCATGCAACATACCCCAACAGAGCATGATAAAACCATTAATCAACTGTTGTAAAAAACAAAAAAGATTAAAAAACAAAAAAGAACACTAAATGAATGAGCTTTCTCATTCTGAACTACACATACATTTCTATGTGCAGATATTTAAGTAGAGGAAAATTTACAAAATAATACTGAATACAAGTACTGGCCTAGCATGCCAAAATTGTACATTTTCGAGTCCATTATGGGCAATTACATTTTGTTTGACTTTGACACCGATATATGAAAAAAAAAAATTTAATCAGGTTTTAACAAGTGTCTTCTCAAAAGAAGGAAGAAATCTTATTCATTTCTGTGGGGTAGTTGGCAGGTCAAAATAACAGAAAGATAAATCAGTACAGAATTACATTTCACTAGTTTCAGCTCGGTGGGGACAAAACAGATCTTGAGACCCTACAACAGCAACCCCCCCCCCCCCAGTGGTAGTGAAGAATCTACATGCAGACCTTAGTAACTAAACAAACGCCAAGGGAAAATTAGAATATATTTTATCAAATTGTTTTTAAAAAGTGGGGATATGAAAAGGTTAGATTTAAAAACCACAAAATTATGCCACTAATCTTGAAGATCAAGCACCGCTTCCACGACTGTATACACATATATATCAATAAGTTAAATACAGGTTAAATTTATTTTTCGCTGCAAAACCATAAGAATAAAATAATCTCCTCCTGTTAAGCACATAGTAAATTTACCCGAAATTTATAAATGCATGTTATAGTTATAGATACAAATAGAACAAATTACAGTGTTTGTGGGGGGAAAAACGTGACTGTGGTGACCTCTTAGAAAGCATGCAACAAACATATCAATTTCAACGTGTCTTTGGGTTCAGTGAGTAAGGGAGGGAGGAACAACAAAGCAGTTGGCATTATATAAAATATAATCATCAACCAAACCAACGGCCACCCAGTGCAGTGGATGTCACAGAAGCAACAAAACTGGATCACAGCTTCTCTCAAAAGCAGTATAAAAAATGCGGGTATCCTTGTCCTCAGGTCCAGGTACAAGAGGAGAAAACAAAACTCAACAACCGTATACAGTGCACTTGAGAATTCTCACATTTCTTCTCAAAATAATTTGTAAAAAAAAATATAATAATAATAGGGGGGTGTTGTATGCAAAAGAGTGGGCTGCTTGGGGAATTGCCCTTTCAAGCAGAATATTTGTGGCCCTACCTTGTTGTGAATAATTGTTTAGGAAGAGTAACAGGATTAAACAAAACGGAATATCAAAACAATATCTACTTCAGTAATGTTACATTCTTACCTCAACCGTTACGTTATAGTTTATAAGTGATTTGACGAAAACGCTGTCTATGTGTTTCAAAATAAATAAATGATGTAAACTAAATTGCTTTAAAAAAACATATATACTTTTATTCTAAATGCATAAGAGCAGGAACAAAAAGGAAAAGCGTAGTCAAATGGTTTCAATTTTACATCTTTTAATTGTCATGAAGAGGACAAATCTTGTAAGCATGTGGCGACTGTAATGTCTAGGTAGCAATGACGAATAAATCTTTCTAAAACAAAACAGTATGTAGGCCTATGTGTATGTGTTATCATGATCACTTTTCTTCCTTTTGCCTCAGCATCCAAACACAATCAGAGGAACTGAAAAGCGAAAACATTGGTGCGCAAAACTGGGGTGGAGAATCTTTCACTTTGTACATTGCTTCAAGCTTTAGACCAGTGTTCACTTATTAATTAATTAAACATTCAGAGAATACGGGAGCTGTAAAGATAGTTTCTAACTGAGCCAGTGGTAATAAATCTATTTCACTTACAATGGCACTCATGATGTTGGATTGATAGCACTCTACTTAACATGCTGCTCAACTTTGCATGACCGACCTCCATGTACTATATATCCGTTCAAGGTTCAAACATTACTAGGAAAAAAGTGTCTCTGATAAGAACATCAGTGGTGAGAGAACATGGAGACCTCTGCAGACAACCTAACTCACATCAGCAGTTTAGCAAAAAATCACCTGTCCATCTTGCAAACAGTATGCACGCCAAAAAGCACAGACATTCACATAATAATTTTTTTTAGAGCACCCTTTCAAAACAGGGAATTAAGTTGATGGGATAGCAAAAAACCTGAAAATGTTTCTTCAAAAAGACCAACAAAGGTACATATATTTGTTTAGATAATATCGCAGAAGAAGTAGCTTGAGCCTCTTCTGGAATATGACAAGATTAAAAACAGTATTCAACGCAAACTTCTTTCATTTTAGACTTTCCTCAGTGCCATCAGTACTGAAAGAAGGGCAGACTGTCAAAATATGCACTTTAAAGAGTAGCAAACATTTTAGTTAGTTTCTGAACAGATGAAATTTGAAACATTTTACATCACTTTTCTCTCTCCTATTTGAACTACAATCCAAATCAGGACACAGTCATTTCATGCAGCAGAAACGAAAGAAAAAGAACCATGAGAGGATGGATGTAATGATGCTTTTCTTTTCAAATACTTGAGAGTTAAAACAAGCGATAAAATGTGTAGGATATATTCTAATATTCGTCTTGTTCTTCAAAGTCAGCATTCTCAGGAGGCGCAAATCCTTCCTGTGAAAATCAAAGTAAAAAGAAAATGAAATTATTAGTGTCTGAAGCAGGAACAACAAATGGTAAAATTATTTTATCAGATGTCATTCAGAAATGAATGCAAAACAAAAGTCATAATTCTATGTCATGAGAAAACCTTGGCACATTTTGTAAAGACTGTAACACAGATGTCAAAGAAAACAGTGGAACTCGGATTCAACGAGATGAGATAGATTCATTTTCTTTTTCTTTAATTTAAAACCAATAAAAATAACCCGGATTCAATGAGCACTTAAATCGGCGAGCTCAGACTCAACGAGGTCACTTCCAGGGTGAACAGCCCCCGCAGACGTGGCTTCGCTCATTTTTCTCCCAGAACAAACTTTATCTATTCCCGGAAACCATCCATTGCAACTGCACCGTGAACCATTATTCACTTAGCCGATTGCATGCGACCAATCAGCGGCCCTTTTCATATCAACACATTCGTTGTTGGCTCGCGCATGTGTCTACTCTGGCGAGTGTCGGGGCTAGATGGGCGGCCTGCGCACGTGTGACAGTGTGTGTGTGTCAGGCGCACTAGCGGTCCGGGCGTTAAACGTTGCAGATACAAACGCGTCACAGTCTTTTTTCCCCCCTCGGCAACAGATCATTAAATTACAATGATAAGCTAGTCTTGACGTAGATCTTGGTAATGTATTGTGCGCTTGTCTATGAAATCAAAAGTTGCCTCATGTTTGGCTCTACACAGCAACAAAACTTTTAGGTAAAAAACCGAGATGACACAGGAGTGCATTGAACGAATCGGTCTGGTTTTTAAAAAAAAAACACAGCTCATAATATGCAGGCCTTTCAGGCACTACTTGTGACTTCTCTTTATACATTACTTGATCAACGCCAGTAATTATCTACACAAAACCTGGTTTTTGCTATAACGAACACTCGGATTCAATGAGATTTTAGGTCAGGCCCGGCGACCTCGTTGTCTCCGAGTTCCACTGTAGTTGCTACAAATTTAAGAAAAGATTTCAGTTTGAGTAAATAGATATACAATATCATGAAAGTTGTCAAAAAAAAGAAGAAGATAGAAACAATAGAGGTAAAGAAAAACAGAAAAACCCCATGAGGCACAAAGCGGGAGGAGTTCCGAAGAGGGCCGGCACTTACCGTGATAAGGTCCACTGAGCAATCTATATAAGTATAGGGTTAGGGTTTAGGGTTAAGGTAGATCCCGCTCAAAATATCCCCTCTTTTGTGTGTTGTTGGTTGGCCGGCCCTCTGCGGAACTCCTTCCCACAAAGCATCAATGGATAAACACAATTTTTTTTTAACAAAACATAAAAACGAAAGGGCAAATTAACCTCATAACAAATAATGATTGATTACCAAAATCATGATTACTCAGTGAGTGGTTGGTGTGGAAAGAAAACAATATGTGGTACACAATCTGGACACGTGACACAACAGTAACAGACAGACCTCTCAAATCGGTAAAGGAAAATAGAAACTGACTGCTTAGTGTAAGTCTGTCCCCATGGTTTTATGCAAAAAAAAAAAAAAGAAATTATGCAAACTGAGCCCAAAAATGTGGAATTATGCGATTCTGTTAATTTTAACAAAGAATGACGAAGGAAAATAATCAGAAATTATGCAAAAAATGATACAATTTTGCTAAATTATCATCATCATCATCATTGCCTTTCTCACCCTGCACCAGGGTATAGGCCACGGACAAACACCCCCCACTTTTCTCTATCCTGGGCTAGCCTCTTGATGTTATTCCATGTCTTCCCACTTTTCTGTACATCGATCATTGTTCCTGCTGATACAGAAGCTCCTCCGTCTCCCAAGATCGAAAATAAAAAGCTGTGTTTGTCCGTGTTTCTGTAACTTACTGTTTTTTACTGGGTTGGGTAGTTGGCCCTCGGCAAACTGGCACTTTTCGGGCGACCAGACCTATGCACTTTTAGTCGCCTCTTACGACACGCAGTATCACGGCAGGTGTATTCTTTGCTCCCCCATAGTAAAACTACGGGGCCCCCCACCAGCAGGGGAGTTGCTAAATTATGCAGGGCATATAAAACCACGGGGACAGGAAAGTGTAAGAATCCACCATGCACCATTTTCAAAAGGGACTCATGAAAGTCCTACACTCGGCAGTTGAAATGAAGTAGGGAACAGTACAAAATTTCTATGTACAGGGATGGAACCAGCATTTGAAAAACTAAAAACCCCACCCATTTCCAGTTATATGCAGCCAGAGTATTCTTAACTCTTGCCCTGCGTCTGTGCCAAGATACGAGTATTATTAGTAACTTCTTACGTCGGGCGTTCTCGGCGGACCGCCGGGGTCACTCAGCGTGTACTGTTAGTGTACAGCGAGCGGCACTGGAAATGTGTGTTTTCGCCGTGAATACTGTGGGGGTATGTAAATCGATGATTAAAACAACGCCATTCCTTTTATTTTCTATTTATAAAGTGTTACGAACACATGAACAATGAGAATCCATGATCCTGGCCAATATATAAGCCGCTCCTTACCAACCTACCAACTTAAGCTGATAAGACGTTACCAGTAGTTACGCCCATTCGAATAACCTTTCTAGGCGCTCTTGTTACGAATGATCTGGGGTTCGAAAGGGAATAATATAGGTCAACTTCCAAATGTTTTGCTCTAAATTGTTCTTTCTACCTGCACAATGGTATTTAAAACTATCGAATAAGCTTATTTTCATCAGGTAATGTCATTTTAAATAAAATCAAGCTCATTTGAAAGATTTGGTATAGACAATTATGGAAGTCTTGTCTCCTGGCTGTCCTTTTGAGCTCCTCAAGTTTAAGGGGGTCAATCTCTTCAAATTTCATAGGATGAACATCTAGAGCTACCAATTTGGCGTGTTTTGAATGAGACGTGTGCCTCTGTTACAAACCAACGCAGGCGGTCCTAGAAGTGGGCCAAAAATGCACACAAATCAAGCATACTGACGCACACACACTTAAGCTGCGGAAATACGGGACCCGGCCATCACACAGATGATGCTCGGCATGCGTGCGCTGAGCCAGGGCTGGACCGATATGGGTCAGGATGGAAGGCGAGGTGCCAAAATATGCTTTAAAAAATCGGTGAACATAAACCTGGCTCCTGCTGAACGAGGGTTAATCCTCTCTTCAGAATCAATAAATACGCACAACTGAACATGAAAAAAAAAAAAAAAAACCCATCAGAAGGATGAAAGAGAATCCCATCTCAGATTTTTTCCCATCTGTGGAATTTTCCCCTCTAGGATAAAAACCTGACTTCCGAGTGAAACCCAGAAAAGTTCCATCCCTGTAAGCTGCAAAGGTTTCCCTTCCTACCTTTTCCTGAAAGAAAAGAGTCCAAAAGAGCGCCAATTACAAGGGTTACCCAGAAACTGGTACAGTGAAAAAGCCTTAGGCATTTCACTACGAATTTGTTTATTTGAGTAAAAAAGAAGCACAATGATACAATAACAACAATCTAGTGAAGGGAAACAGCAGGACAGACAGGACAAATAGAGGGAAAGAAAAGAAGTTTGACCTACGAACAGCGCCCTCTGACTACTGAGGCATGAGTCCGACATAAAGATTAAAACTTGTCACTTTTAAACAAAGCAAAAGAAAACCCCCCAAAACCCCAGTGACATAAAGGCCACAAGTTGAACTATGAGAATCCATGATCCTGGCCAATATATAAGCCGCTCCTTATCAACCTACCAACTTAACCTGATGTAAGCACCGGAATGGATACCTACCTGCTTACCTGTTCCCCTGGTTTTATGCACCCTGCATATTTTAGCAAAATTTGATATTATCCTTTATCATTCTTTGTTTAAAAAAAACAACAGAATCACATAATTTCACATTTTTGGGTTCAGTTTGCATAATTTTTCTTGCAACGTAACAACTAGAATGAAGTGCCCTCATCGAATCAACAAAATAACTATGCAAAAAGGCAGGATAGTCAGTCTCAGAGAAAACATGAAAAGAAGTCTCATAACAAGAAAATATGCATGACAATAACAACACAAGCCTTGAGAATTGTCTCCAAGAAAGCCAAGTGATTGTGAGTGACCAGGAACAGTTACAGAACAAAAAAATATGACAAACCTCTGTTGCATAGAGAACATCCATAACATCTTTCACATGGGCTTCACTTTCGTTTTCCTGGCAAATCACTTCGATCTCTCGCAATTTGTTGAAATAGAAATCTCTTTCTTTTTCAAGACCCTCTTTGTCCATATTAAGTTGCTCAATCTGAAAAGAACGCGAATAATAAAAACAATTGATTCTACCATTCAATTCAGACCAAGATTTAGAAAAACCTACCACGAAAGGTCACATAAAAAAACCCAACAGTATAACATGGATAGGTTGAACACAGAAGACTCGAAATCACACATCCGTCGAACTGTGCCTACGCTCCCGTTTTTTCTTCTTCTTTGATCTTTGTAAGATATCCCTCTAACTACCGAGGCCAATCTTGATGAATTTGAGTCATCCGTGTCATACTATATCTATTCCAGTAAAGTAGGAAAGGTTGGGTTTAATGAATGAACTGGAAATCCCCCCCCCCCCCCCCCCCAAATAAATCCTCCATCCTCCAGTACTTCTTGGGTTTAAAAAAACATTTTAAAAAATCCCCAACACACTCACAAGATTTGCCTAACAGCACAACCAACCAAATTTTGACTAAATAACAGACCTCCTTTATTATCATAATCCTGTTAGAGTAGAAATTTAAACAATTTGGCCACAGCCACATGTGAATGCTCTCCCCTGTGAGACCATGTTGAGTATCAAGAAATTGTTAAGATTGGCAAAAACAATCAGTGTCTAGTCAGATAAAGTCATGGGGCTGTAGATGAAAGGTCACCCCCCCCCCCTTTTTTTTTTTACATTGGGACATGTCAGTGTTCCATCACAGCCACATGGATTTCAGCTACTCATCCAAAATTGCATGAAGAAAAACAGTGCAAAAAAGGTGATAAACTATCATTATGTCATAAAACTGAGATATAATTTCACAAACTGAACGGTCACACATTGACCTAGAACTTTGCAAAACAGCAGGGAGACTTACAAAACAGAACATTTCTCACAATCAAGTAATGTAGAAATGAAGTAAAACCTCACCTGGCTTTTGAGGTCTTCGACAAGCTGATTATCGCCACCTGCACTGTTTCCCATACCTGGAGATCTCCTCATCACAGTTGCTGGGCTTCTGTTAGGTTGTTTTACAGCTGGCAAAATACAAGGACTCAGATTAAAACCAATCAATCATAGTTTTTAAAGGGAACAATAAGCTGATCTATAAAATGACATTGTATAGCTTGTTCATGAAGGACCACCAGCAACGTAACCAAATGCAAAGAGCCAGAAACGGAGGAGTGGGAGAATGGCTAGATCTGCTTCTGAAATTTTTATGAAGTCGAAAATTTGTCTCAAACCGGAAAAGTTGGAAAGCTTATCCGGCACATGCCGGAAAACTTTCATCAGTTGACCACAGTAAAACTTAAATACTGGCCAATTCAGCCACTAGAGACAAAGTGGACAGATTCAAACCCATCAGAGCCTTCTTTATCATTCATTACTGTGATAACATACAGACCATAACTTTATTTATATATAGACGGTGATTATTTATTTCCATCATTCCCCCCACCCCAAACCTTCCTTATAAACCATGATAAAATAACGGTGAATAGTGGAATGGATAAGATGGAATCAAACTAGCAGAAGAGGCCAAATTTGAAAAAGAAAAGACTGAGCGTTCGAAATTTAAAACCACATAACAATTTAATGTCAATCAATGTCATACCTTTCGGTGCAGGGGGCTGGCTTGTTCTGGAGATGGATGGTTTCGCGGTGGGTGCCTTGTTCAAGGCTCCTGGCTTGGCTGAGCCCAGCTGTTCCCCACCCCGAGCCATCACCGGGTCATAGTCTTGACCCCCGTAGTTCGCATCAAAAAACCTCTTGAACCACTGCACGAACTCAAAGTTGTCCTGGAACTTGCCTTTCACTAGTCTTTCAACGGGAACTATCTGAAATCCCAACCAAGAAGTGATTGCAGGAGGAAAAAACAAAATAGTAATATACCAGAAACAAATCAAATCACATGTACTTCAATTTTTGTTCAAAGCAATGATCATACTTATTGACAAGCTCTTTACTTAGATACTGTTACATAAAATTGTGAAATAGCTTTAGTCAGAAGAATAAACTGGGTTTTTGCCAAAGGCACAGGTATCAACAGAAAAAAAGTAAACTCTATCATTTGACAATTTCATATGAATAACTTGACAAAAGCCAATCTTTGAAGATTTACCCTTATACTCTCCCCAAGAACAAACATTCCCTATAACCTAAAGCTTAAGTCCATAAATTAAGAATAACCTTATCCGTACGCCCTGGGGTCATTTTGTACCCCTAGGGTTGTATTCTTCACATTTTAGAATACTTCTAGTACGTAGATCTCTTTGAAACTTTGAGTATTTCTCAAAAAATCATTTTGACAGATTGCTATGCAAAGCGTTCCGATCGGATTAACGGGTAAATTTACACTTTGGAAATGGTGGCACAGTTTCCCACGTCGTATGGATACGATAGTAAAACACGACATACGGATAAGGTTAAGAAAAAAAAAAAAGTTATAATTCAATAACAAGATAGCATACAACTTACAAAAAATACCCCAAAAATTCGTACAGTGCAAGCATAAATAAGCTACACCATTCTATAATATGTTAGTGTTAGTAAAATGGCAGACAGGCAAAAAGGGTGAAACAAAGTACAATTTCTCATGCACAGAATTGTAAAATGAATTTTTGAAATGGTGTGTTCATAGCAGTACAATCCTTTAATAGAAATCAATTTTACATTTAAAAACAAACTGTTTAAATACCTACCAATTCCTTTTGCATTGTAAAGTAAAGTGAATAGCAAAATACTACCAAAAAACCCCCAACAAAAAACCCCAATATATAAACAGCGGAATTTAGGAGTAAATACTGTAAACCTCTTTTTAAGCTTGATTTTTTTTTCACTAGAGAAATTCATTGTGACACTTGAAATAGCAAGTTTTTTTTCTATTAACTAGTGAAGATGACATTTTTAAAGCAATTATCCAGGTGACAGAAATTCGCACTTTAATAAGACTCCATGTATACTCAAAATAGGAAAACCAAGAGCATCTGAAATGTATGCTTAGGATATGAGGGGTAGAAAACAGATACCACACCAGAGTACATTGCACCACGTCAGTCAGTGTGTGTGATTTACGCAATAGAATGAGATTGAAATAAACAAGCTTCTTTGGATCTGTTGGAGTAGAAAAAAATCTCCGGGGAGTTAATTTTCTTGATAACATTATAAAGAGGACAGCAAAGTCATCTACAGAGATGAAGTGAGAATAACCCCTGGTGTTGCACACTATTGATTTTCAATAATCATAACAGATATTATTGATTATCAATGACCACAGCCGACACCGTTAAACAAACAGCAGAATGATGTATGAAGAAGCTTTATTGAATTTATTTTTTGCAAAAAATTCACACTTCAAGGGCATCCTTTAAAAAATTATAGCTTATCCATAATGAAGGATGAAATAAAGGGCTATTTATGTATATCTATTTCAGGACAATAATTCTAAATGGTAACTAGAGGCAAAAGACAAATGACAACGGAAAGTATAACAAACAATGAGGTAAAACAGATAAGCAGTTGGTAATCCTGGCTTAAAATCTCGAAGTAGAAGACCAATACAAAAGAAGCAACCTCAACACTGAAGTAAAAAAACAAAACAATACTGCAAGCTAAACCAGAGCCTACACTGTGACAAACTGTGGAACACAACATGTAAAACAAACGACATAATAAAAAAAAGCTACTTTTTAAAGAAGCACTTGAAAACAAGGAGTGGATACAGCTGCCCTTCAGATTCCTGAGATCTAATATTGACAGTGCTGCCTCTCACATGTTGAAAAAACCCACAACCCAACCTTTCTTATTTTTTTCCTCTCAGGCATAATATTCACAAATGCATGGCGATTCAGGAAAAGTTGAAGAATCTCTAGTATTTCTCATAACTTAAAATTTTTCACATTTCAGCAACAAACTTATTGCTACTTGTCTTATTGGATACAAAACAAGGGCGGGCTTCTAAGAACTACAAAATTTAAACATTTAAGACTGAAGAATGGCAAGATGTGTGGTGGTGGTGGTGAGTGAGTGGCCCCAAAAGGATCAGCTATAAATGTCTTGTGCAACGGCATTGGTTACATACATGAGAATTTGACTACCATGAAAGTGTCAAACGATGAGCAGTAAGGTGGAAAACAATTTCACCAAAAGGCAAGCTTCAGTTGAGTTTACAGGAAATGAAACAAAGAATAAATCCCCATGGTCCAAATCAATTCCCCCCCCCCCCCCCGACAGTCGATCTGTTGTTTAATTCATTGCTGTTGCCAATCACTACCAAAAGGGCTTAGTCATGCAAGCGTCAATAACATCTCAGCTTACAGCACAAAACTTTGAAGGAAATTTCATGTGCAGAGCCAATTCAGCATTATTTAAAGACATTTCTGACCACTTTAATCCTAAAGAAGGCATCTATAAAAACTATAAACCTTTAGTTCTATGAATTATTAATTTTAAAAATAGTATCAAGGTTTACTGTATGTCAAAATGCCTGAATGATATTGTACCATCAATTTCTCATATAAGTGTTGAAAGTGGATACTCCCAATTCCCAGTTTAACGTCATCAGCTGACAAAGAAATTACTTTTATCACACCATCTATGAAACTAAAAACAATGGGTGGAAGGGTATTGGCATTATATCATGGCCCCAAGATCTAGAACACTTTGCCCTGTAGGTTAAGAGAGATCAAATCTTTTAATTAACTAATTCAAATATCAACTGAAGTTATTTGTTTTTAGATTAATGAGATACTATAGTAGATTTTTAGTCAGTATACAGTGACCTGTTTACATGTTGCTATTGTATGTTAAGTGTTCAGATCATGTGTTATTTAATTGAGATTGAGTGTATATATATATTATCACTAATATAATTAATTCGTATTCATGTTCTTACGCTCATTAGTCTAGAGGTAGATGCTTGCTTCTCATAATAAAATATCTGGTTCTCAAAGCTATGGTCCCTGAATAATTTGGTCTTTTTTTTCTCTTGAAGTCAACATAGCTGAGTATATAGAAGATCTAGCATATAGTTCTCTTAAATAAGGATAAAGAGCTCAGGGAAATGCATTCTGCACACATTTCAAATACCTCGGCTGTTGAAATAGGAAGGAGGGAAAAAGTGCCCTTGCCCAAGCAAGGAGCAAAAGTCTTGAAATACCCCCTCACCAACACTGAAGAAATTCTGGCTAGTAAAAAAGAGAGTGACTTCAAAGACAGCCTATTTCGTAAAGTACATTATACACTAGGAGAAAAACAAAGAACTTAGTGTAAAAACTACCAAGTCTATGATGGAGAACCTACAATAAACTGACAACTACACAGGTAAGACAAAAGGGATGCATACAAAGACACAATTCTCCTTTGGCCAAAAAAAAAAAGGCTTAAAATTTTTTCCCATGATGCTATGTCAGAAGCATTTCCATCTATAGAAATTCAAATGCAATGAGATGGTCTCAATGCGTAAAACATGCCCATCAAATTTTGAATCTGAAAACTGTTTCATTTCTTAATCATTAGAAAACAAGTCCATTGAATAAGTTTCAGGGCAGGTTTTGAGGAAAAACATTTAGTAAAATAAAAAATAGATTAATAACAGGGGAAAAAACAAACCCTACTTTCCAACGATTAAAAAAGATACAGTAATGAGTAATAAAGGTTCTTATATAATGCTTCCATCTGTCAAATAAGGCACTACCCTAAACAGAATGAACCTACACTACAAGTAGCCTATGAAGAAATAAAATTTACTTTCTCATGAGAAAATTAAAAGCAGCAGTATCCAAAAGATGAATGTATAGCCATAAATCATAAACAAAAATATGCATGATAGGTTAGAGAGATGTGCAAAGTTCACACAACAAATGCTCCTAAGAAATCACAGCAAACCACAGAAAGCCGGCTTTGAAAGGCAGCAACATAGAACATACATGACTGCACAGAAATCAAAAAGAAATCTAACAGGTACAAACAGTGAAAGTCCTAGCCAGCACATGGCCACAGACTCACCTTATCTATGCCTAACTTCTGGAAACAGGCTTGAAGTTGCTTGAAATTTTGTATGTACTCGTGTTCTAATTTTGTATTGAATTTTACTCTTTTTAATACCACACTCCCTGCAAGACAAGATATGAAATATCAAGCCTTGATGAACATCAGAAATAGAAAAAAACCTGACAAGGGCACATATATATAACAACACCTTTGCTCTGGAGAACAAGAATGTCATAATAAGTAGTGCAGCTTTCTGTTTCAATTAGATAAGACTACTTCGAAATTGACACAAGAAGAGAACTATAAAAAATACAAACAAACAAAACATAATCAGCCGTCTGCAACCGAGGTCGACCTTTGCTGGAAAGAAATTCATTTAGTAGAACAACAACACAACAAAAAGTAAGTGAAAAGCCACGAAATGAGCTATACAGTGACAGCAGTTAGTGGAATATAGCCTTGAAGAGGACAATGTTATTTCCCAGCAATGACACCGAAAGCTTGTCAACAATTTTGCTTTAGTTACCAGCAACAGAAAAGCTTGTTGTCTTCATTTTTTTAATGAAACAACTAGACCCCAACACCGAAAACAGAAATCAATCTGCTTTAACTTTTAACACAAAAAAAGGAGCTAATATTATGTCAAAGCTGTTCTGTAGTAAGCAAAATATGATGACGAGTAAAATACTTCAATGCCATTGATTTTGAAGAAGCCATTCGCATAAAATACATTGTAATGTAAATGCAGTGAACTAAAGGAAATCCTTGCTGTAGCACTGGAAAAGCTCACACTTTCTTCTACACGATGCCAACAAAATGTGCAACAAAGGACTAGAGAAGAGCAGACTCAACCCTTAAATAACCCTTAGATAAAACATCCATAAATGGTTCTTGAAACCAAATGAATGTGCATGTTTAGTATAGAACTGGTGAACATTTCAACACTTTGCTCAGCATTACCTGGAGTAGTGCTCTATAAAAAGAAGACAGGCTACTGAACCAAGTTAGTTGAAAATGCTCCCATACTCATGCAAAAAAAAAAAGGGGAGAAAAAAGAGAAAGAACTGGAAGGGATAAAAATTCACTCTAATAAAACACCAGTTTCTAGCCCATGCAGATTAAGACAAATGACCAAAAACTGGGTGCTCAGTATCCCTATTTGCTCAGGTCTTTCTTTTTTTCTTTTTAAAAAATGAAAACAAAAGGGGAAAAAATAATGAACAACAAAGAAACAAAAGCATAAGGGTGAAGTACAACTGTCTTAGACTTTCAGCAGTGTGTATAATAAAATCTGGTTTATGAAAATTAGTGACAATATTAAACTTTCACTGCGACTAAATCGTGTATACTTCTGTTGTGTAATATAATTTGTGTGTCAAAATGCAATCCAGTCAAAGTTGTTTCTTATTCTGCTTTTAGCAAAAAAAATTTTTTTTTTTAACAAATAAAAAATAATTTCACGATTGTTAGAATAAGATCCCAGGGTAGGAACCCATGCAAGGCTCAAATCTACAAGTATTTGCTGAAAGATTACAAAGGCAGCACAAAGAGGGGAGTAGTCGAGTTGACTGAATGCCAAATAGCCAGGGCTACAAAGTGGGAGGAACAGCCCTGATGTTACCTGCCTCCTACATTCTCTCACCTTGTCTACCCCTAGCTTCTTAAAGCAGACTTGAAGCACCTTGAAATTGTGGATGTACTCATGTTCTAATTTTGTGGCGAATTTCACTTTTTTCATCATTAAACTTCCTGAAACATCCACAGGATGAGGGGCATGTACATCAAAGAATAAATAAACATCATAATGGTACACTGTTGGTTGTCTCATCAGTTCACATCATTCATCAGCCTGTCTGAGCACCCTCATTAAGTCCACTAGCGACTAACTGGATCCTCTCTTCTGCCTGTCTTCATAGTGAAGTGTGGGATAAACATTTCAAAAATACCCCCCCCCCCCCTCCGAAAACATAAACTCACTGACAAGCCCCCCCCCCAAAAAAAAACCCCCCCCACTGCTCTAACAAATTTTGCTGGGGGGGGAGAACAACGTGGATGAACCATATTCACAAAAAAAACACTTTTGACCCCATCACTTCTGATAATAAGAGGATGACAAATCAGTCTCTAACTCAATACAATGTAAACCCCAAAGAAAACTCAAAGGAACACAACAAAGGCCAAATGTGCAGGGCTCACTCAAAACAACTGATGACTGATGAGAACGTAAGAAAATGGGTGATAAACGTCTATTACAACTCATGATGGTAAGGTAGATTACTTTGGCAGGGGACTTTCCCTGATACTGTGTCTCAAAACCAGTTAAAATAAGAAAAGGAAGAAACTGTTTCACTTTGTTTTTCTTAACAACTCAATTTTGCTTACTATGTGGAAAAATAAAAGAGGTTATTAATTAGCCAGTCTCAGAGAAAATCCCGCACCAACAGAATGTAGTCACAATAATCGATTTTCTCAACGTGATCAAGGACAAACAAGAATGAATGACAGGTTAACGTCATGTATATGATACTTTCAGTCAGGCTTATTGATTATCACTGAAAAAGTCAATTTTAAAAATACAAAAAAACAATCTACAACAGGCTGTCAGCCTGGGGGATGGCGATCACAAAATCACTATACAGTTCAAAATACCCATTATAGGGTGCATCCTGAAAAAAAAATCACCAAAATAAAATAAGTTATAATATTCAAGAGGGGTTAATTTCCTGCTCAATCTTAACAACTGATGACTGATGAGAACGTAAGAAAATGGGTTACAATATTCAAGAGGGGTTAATTTCCTGCTCAATCTTAACAGCTGACATATCTTACGACACTCAATTTCCTCTTGGATCATTGATGTGCTTCAACATGTGTTTTCAAAAGCATACAAAAAGAAACAATATTGACACTTGCTTGGCAATTCGCAAGCAGGACTCTACATTGCTATGATTCGACGTTGTCTTGGTATAAAACAAAAAAACCCCAAAAAACAACAAAAAACTGACAGTAACTTTTTAAAAATTGCATGCCCTTTGCTTTCACTTGAACTACTGATCGATGTTCAATTTTCCAACGGTAACAAACTTTGCTGAACTTTGGTAATGAACCTTTCTGAGTCAATGATGACAAAATTTGACATATATATCTATGCACTCCTGTGTGACAAAAAACGACATAAAAATAAAAATGATTAAAAAATGGTATCATCTATTGATAAATAATCTAATAATAGACTCCTTGGACAAACAAATAACTGTAAGAGCACTTTTTCTATCATAATTTTACCATGATGCCGTTCATTAACAAAATGTAAAATATAAAGACAAGAAAAATACAGACCTGGAAATAATAAATCCATGAATTGGCAATATGCGGCTCCTGGTGAAACAAGATTTAAATGATCAGAGCCATCAGTAGCTGCATACATAATTCTACTAATTTCCTACCACAAATATAATCCTGACATGTGATCCTACGGGAGCTGAGTGCTTGTAACTTACTGTAGATTTTGTTCCACAAACTCAATTTACTCAGGCACTCTCTTTCTGCACTAATACAAAGAAACATGCTTAGAATGTGTTATTACATAACTAGCAAAACAAACATCCTTGAGGAGCTGGGCTTCAACCCAGTCTGTCAGGGCCAACCAAGGTTAAGAGGGACACAGCATCCCAAAAGAAAGATCAATATAATCAAAAGAAATTCCCTCCTCGCTGGCTGTAATCAGGTTTTGATTTTCTGCATACGACGGCGATGTGGTTAAAACCACTATAATACAACACAGATTGAGATGCTGGTAAAACAAAAAAGCAAAGACCAATAAAATCTAAAATTAAATAGGAACAAAAAAACAACCAACCTTTAAAACACTATGATCTAAAGTTAAGCATCCAAGTAGCAAAATTGGCGGGACATGGAAATCTTTTTAATTTAAGTAATAATTTTGCTATGTATTGGAAATAGAAATAAATAATATCCAAGTACACATGACATAAGACTAAGAAAACATTCAAGACCTGAAAATCTGCTATATGCCTGATAGACTTTCACAATTACCCCTTTTCAGAATGATGGTCACATTAGCAAGGCTCTTCTGACAGTAAAGCATGAGTCAGAATGAAGCCAAAAGGAAAAAGAAGGAATCACTCTTACCTGAGCACAACTCCTCTATTTTTGAGTAGCTCGTCTGTAAACTGTCGTTGACCCATGCAATCATATCATGCCTACTGAGGTTGTTATCTGAAGCATTTGTGCTGTGCACATTCACAGCAGCCATTATGAAGATGTATTGAGTGAGACGCAAGTTCCTCAGAAATATAAATCTGCAAAACAGACAAAAATGGAAGGCTGTGAGACTACACAAAAGGTGAAAAAGGATGTGTTAAAAGTTAATACAGGCCCCAGAATTTTCCATCCAAATATACTCATGTTTTCATGTTTGTTTGTTTTGTTTTTGTAAGGTGTTTTACGGCGCTCGCAACCGCATAAGGTCATAGAGCGCGCGGGACACACCTAATATTTTCAGTTGGTAGGAAATTTTGAATTTTGCCTGGGTGGCGGCCGAAGCCTACTCTTATCTATTTTAGAACACCAAGGGATTTTTAACGTGCGCAACTTGCACACGGGCCCTCTGAGATTTTTCGCCCTTGTCCGAGAAGGCTAGGTGTAGATCTTTCCTACCAGAAGATCAGGGGTGTGGCAGAAAGACAGCAGTATGGAGGAGCCAAGGAGTAGCAGTAGAAAGGCTGCAGAGTCAGAAGCCCAGAGGAGGGGACAAAGGAGGTGAGGGGGTGGGGTCAGTAAGTGGAAATGAAAGCAGACAACAGAACATTGCTAGAGAGCAGAAAAGGAGGTGAAAGGAGACAATTTTAGAGAAGAAAATTTTTTTTGGTCGCTACTCGGATTCCAACCCGCGACCTTTGAATAAGAGGCCAACACCTTAACCTCTAGGCCACAAGAGCCCCCGTTTTCAACTTTAAGTTTAAGCTAAAAAGCAATAAATGTGCTTATATAGTACATTTTCCCAATAAATCTGTTCCTCACTTTCACATTTCAAATTTTTAACACAAGTTTCAATGCCTGACAGTGACAGCTCACAAATATCGTGTAATGAATTGTTATGTATGACATGAGAACACAGGGATTCTTGGAACAACTCAATGGATGCAATGGTCAAGAATATCATGCAGTGTTTATCCAAGGACAACATGAGAAATTTGAACATAATAATACAACTCTTCGAATTGTGCTCATGAACACAGACACCTTCAAGTGTCTTGAATATTCATGAAAGACTGACAAGACCACAAGCAACCAAAACAGTCCAAAAAAAATAAAAATAAATAAAAAACCCAAAAGAAATAAAGCCCACTCATGATCAATTCAATTGCTACAAAACCGTAACAAGACAAAATATAGTCGCTACTAATTTATATGGAGAAAAAAGATTAACATTTTCCTTTGAAATTTCCCTCCAGAATACAGTGGCAGGGAAGTATACATATATATATATATATATATATATACATATATATATATATTGCAAAATATAGGTTTGAAAGGGTTAAATCATGAGAGTCACATGACAACAGATGTTCACAGAGATATAAACCTGAATCCAAAATGATCATACCAGAAAGCCACAAAACTTTATTATCAGTCAGTACGGTGCAGAATATTTTTGGTATGTGCATGCACTCATGAGTCCTGATAAAACCAAAAGATCTTCAGAGATGAATAGCATAGTCATTGCTATTTTTAAGTACTGACATACAATTGATTTTAAAATATAAAACAAGATCAGCTAGATATGCCATAGTGCCAAGTAAGGACTTTTTCTAATACATTTTAGTAATTAATATCCACAAACTCGCTCCACAATTTTTTTTCAATGTCAATATGGGATATAAAATGTAAAATGGATTTTATGTTGTAGTAAAAGCCAAAAGCGACAACGGACACCCATGGGGAAGCAGTTGCTGCTTGTTTCACACTAAGGGATCATTAGAGAAATAAAAAAGAGAAAGAACTTTTAAAAAAAAGTTTAACATTGCTTTTACAGACTAAGCAGAAAAGTAAGGGAAATTCTATGCCAGGGGTCTGGGGGCCACCTGTCTGTAGCAGGGTCCATGAACAGCATCCAGGTGGGGGTTAGGGAAGAAGAGAGATTTTATTAAGTGATTTTAGACAGTTGGAAATGGCAATCGGGAGCCTGAATAAAGAGATTGCCAACAACCTATAAAACCTTAATCACTAAAAGCTTGTCTTACTTTATCTCATTTCTTCACCTCATCTACATAATTATAATATGATGTGTCACTACATGTTCAAATAGGGCACTCATTAGTTTTTACACACATCATCAACCTAAAACTTGCTCATTTGCTTTAATTCGATGAGAGAACATTTAAAAAAATCTTGAACAGAAGTCGAGATATTTGAAATTGAAAGAGGTGGGGTCGTCAAGAGCCATAGAGGTAAAATCAGCGACAAAATGGCTGCCAAAGTTTTGTGACTTCCAAGGCTTGAGTTTCCTCGGAAATTGCAAATGTACCCCTTTTGTGCCTTTCATAATTGTTTTTCCATAAAATCCACACATCAATGTGATTTTAAAAGGAAATAATAAAAGGTATTGCTTTAAAAATGTTGGTTTCTTTGATTGCATTAATTTGACGAACGCCTGATTTCACAATTTAAAATGCCACACACAATGCTGGTAGTGTTTAAAAGCAAATTTCCCTTTACTTTGCAACTGATATAATTCAATTAGTCATCAATTATACAAAATACAATCAACCAGCATGTACTCAGTCTCTTGATCTATGCACAAATTTTCCGGTCCCAGCAAAATATCCCAAGTCAGCCAATAAAAGAAAGAAAATGAAATCGGCACAACAATACTGCATTCAGAACAACCTAGACTTTGGTTGATTAGTGAGTGATAAGTAAGTGCCTGTAAATATCCTAAAATTTCATCTAAGAAGATAAGTAGATCAATCCTTCGCTATACCTGCAGGCCTACACTATGGATGTCACTGGGATTTTGTGAAAATATCTGAAAATGCACCAAGTTGCTTTTAAAAACAAAATGGTAGTTAATAAAATAAACGCAACTAATATATGGCGTTAAATAGAAAACAAAGGTTAAAAAATAATAACTCTTGTTTTTCAAAAGAAAATGACAGAAAATATTTTTTTTTAAAACACAGGCATCCGTGGGTACTATTTCAATCATTTTTTAAAGTAACTTTCAGAATGCATACATTTCTGTAAAAAATATGAATACAGAAGTTCGGAACCACAGTATCAATGTCTACTAAATATTCATGCAGTTCCAGGTGCGCTTTTCAATGACTCAATGATTAAGGCAAACTAAGTAAAATCAAGTCTTTAAAAATCTCAGACAGTCAATCGAACAGAATTTAACATCTCTGTGTTCGCAGTGCTTCCAAGTTAAAAGAAAAATGCAGTATCACAACAAAAACTGAGCATTTTTTAAAGTTAAAATTCACAGGGTGATTTTTCATTAAATGAAAAATAATAGCTGCTTGGACAAAAACTGATTGAAGGAAAAGGAAGGGATATAATATCTGACCATGAAAAACCCCCTATAAATCTGATTTCTTAGACAAAGTTTAGTAATTGTGCAAAGATACGCCTTACATTCATGAACTTGTACAAAGGTCGCACATTCATTTATATATAGAGAGGGATCTATGTAATATATATAGGTCTAGATCTACTTCTAAAAATACAGGTCCTAACTTAATCAACGAGAAAAAAACAACTGGGAGACAACAGTTTTCATGTCCCTACATTACACACACAAACTGACTGAATTCAGCTGATAACAGGCAAAATAAACATCAAGACGGCAGATCTACCAAAATCACACGCGGAGTGAGATAAAGCGAATGGGAAAAAAACAAGAGACAAGAGTACGTAAACAAAGACACTCTATGAAAGCCCTTGTAATGATGATGCTGTAACTGTAAATCTATAATCTCTCTTCTGACAGTCTTGAGCCCAACTTGAGAAATACCTCTAGGGTAGGTTACGGCAAATTCGACCATGGGGCAACTTCGACAGCCTCAACCTAGACTCGGCTCTTGCAAATTATTTTACCCCTGTGTCGTGGAATTATAATCAAAGCCCACTTTTATTCGTCGCACATTTGATTCTATCTAAAAATAAAATTTGGGCTTTAGAACTTCCTGGGCTTCCACTTGTTTCTACTTTTAGCCAGAAAGCTTCAGAAAACACCCATTCAACTTCCGCGCTCCGTCACTGCGTACTTTTCGCACTTGAAGAAAAAAATCAGCACTTCACCTATCATTTAATTTTTTATACACGCTTGTTTGGCTTAAAAATATTCATCAGTTATGTATGACGAAACTTTGGTATCCTTACGTACATGTAAATCCATCTAGAATTAGAAATGTCGATTATACGAATTTACATGATTTATTTAAAATGACGGGGTGAGATTTTGGTGGTTGGTGTAAATTTGAGAGGGCGAAACAGGACAACTTCGACGGGGGTGGGCCAATTTCGACCTTCCAGCTTCATAAGAAGATCACCTTTAACAAACTATCACATTTCAGTTTAATCTTGTTTGTCAAGTAAATTATCATTTTCATTTGGGTCGAAATCCTTGCCCGGTCAGATACAAACTAGCAGAAATTTAGACTTCAGACAAAACTGCTCAACTGTCCCATGTCAAGAGCTAAGTATGTGAGTGTGTGTCTGTGTGTGTGAGAAATAGAGAGAGAGAGAGTGTGTGAGTGAGTGTGTGTGCAGTGGCGTCTCGTGCGTAGCAGACAAGGTGGTGCATAATTGGAAAGTGAGCAAATGGCCGGGCAAGGTGTAGTAGTAGCTACTAATATAACAATTCTTGAGAAAGTCAATCAACATCTATCGATATATGCAACTGTTTCTAAATGAAACCGCATAAAAGCTGCAGTAAAGTAAAACAATACTAACAACCCATTATGCTCACAATCTGAGAAGATTTCAAGATTTCTAATTACTACGTGCAGCAGCAGGACTTGCTACACAATAATTGTGACAATAGAGGGAGACAACAGTTTTGACACCCATTCTTCATTCAGTTACCATAGACTCTACTGCAGTAGATATTTTGTTTAGTATAGGGTTTTACGGCGCTCGCAACTGCATAGGTCATATGAGCGCGCGGGACACACCTAATACTTTTTCGTTGGTAGGAAATTTTGAATTTTGCCCGGGTGGCGGCCGAAGCCTACTCTTATCGATTTTAGACCACCAAGGGATCTTTAACGTGCGCAACTTGCACACGGGCCCTCCGAGATTTTTCGCCCTTGTCCGAGAAGGCTAGGTGTAGATCTTTCCTACCAGAAGATCAGGGGTGTGGCAGAAAGACAGCAGTTAGGAGGAGCTAAGGAGTAGCAGTAGAAAGGCTGCAGAAAGAGTCAGGAGCCCAGAGGAGGGGGCAAAGGAGGTGAGGGGGTGGGGCAGAAATTGGAAATGAAAGCAGACAACAGAACATTGTTAGAGATCAGGAAAGGATGTGAAAGGAGACAATTTTAGAGAAGAAAATTTTTTGGTCGCTACCCGGAATCGAACCCGGGACCTTTGAATGAGAGGCCAACACCTTAACCTCTAGGCCACGAGAGCCCCCCTGCAGTAGATAGACTCCAGGAAGCTTGGATCAAATTTTAAGCTTGCACCAAATTGGTGCTGTGAAGAGCAGTTTCATGCACCACCTTTCTTCTTGTGCAGGAAGAACGATGCCTAGATTTGTAGTCTACAGTGACAAAAATAACTTTGGTGCAAAGATTTTGCTTGCTCCCAGCAGACACTATCGCAAGCGGTGCGAAACCATCCTCGCCGTCTGTCTCTTCACTGGCGCAGCCAGCGGGTGACAGATCGCAAGGATGTGTAGTTGGCTTTTATGTAGATCTAGAGCACTGACTGGTTTAGAACAATTAGAAAGGGAGGGGGGGGGAAGGCCAGGGTTAGGTGGCAGGTGGAGCGCTTGCACCAACTGCACCAATGGCGCCCCGTCACTGCGTGTGTGTCTGTCGTGTGTGTGCATGATGAGAGTGTGTGTCTTCGTGTGCGCGCGCGCGCTCGGAGAGTGAGGGAGAGGGGGCAGAGGGGAAAGAGATCAGTAGGAGGACAGGGAGAGAGAGAAAGACAGAGAATTCAGCAGAGAGGAGTTGAAAGAGACAGGGGGGGGGGGGCACAATAAGTTGAATAAGAACCCAATACTGTTGAAGACATCCACCCCCTGTCGAAGTTGCCCACAGCCCCTGTCAGTACTGTCACAGTCACAGGCTATGCCGAAGTTGTCAAATGTAGGGGTCGAATTTGTACCAACCCCAGTCGAAGTTGCCCCAAGCGAGGGCATGCCACAAAATCGTGACTGGTTGAAAATCCGGAATACAATTTATAGAGCGAAGAACATGATATAATCGAGAAGTAGAAAGTAGAATGGCTGCTTGACACAACAATACCATGGCCATGATGGTCTGTGTTCTTTCATAAAGGCGGGAGCAGTATCGGTTACTTTTGCGGAACTACACAAAACCGTCGAAGTTGCCCCAACCTACCCTCCTAGCCTCGAGAGGTTGTGTCCCACTCCTTGTTTAATTTAGTTTAGGCAGGTTAATGAAATCATAAAATTTAGCCTGACTATAAACTGGATGCAGTTCCTAAAACCAAGATATTTCGGAAATGTAAAAAGATCTAGAATCTAGGACCATAGTCAGTTAAACCATAACTGGTGTAACAGGACAACAAAATAAATGGGGAGTGGTGGGGCCTATCCCCCACCCTCAGACTGAGACTGAGCCAGAGTCCAGTCAGTGACTCAACCCCACCCAAAAACTCCCCTTACAAGTCTTCTCTTCTTTCATTTTAATTTTATATATTGTATTTTACAAAAAGAATATCCCTGCCTTTTTTCCTTTATAGAGTGGTGAATCAGGACAACTTAAATTACACACGACAGTCGAAGACTTAAAGGAATATGGTGTTTCCAAAACAAAAAAATGGCTCTACTTATGCCAGAACTTTTCCCCCGTGGGGAGAAGGGGCGAGGAACCGGTGCGGAAGAGACGTTTCCTCCAAATGCATAAAGCGCAATTCCCAAAATCATGACTGAAAACCTGTCTCCAGTAAGCACAGAATAAAGCTACCATGTGTTTACAACGTCATAACAGCATATTTACCGAGAAATTTGAAACTGTTGAGTTATTTATAAAGTATACTTCCGCGATCGTCTTCACTGTTCTTACCAGGCTCAGTCGTAACAATCCTCGCCTCAAACAGCCTCAATCCGCTTTCTCAACCGACGGTCTGTCTGTTCGTCCCGAACGGTAGAAAAGCTTAAAATATGGCGCAAACGTTAGCTTTAATAGGAACAAATATTTTAAAATGAAGACCGTTTTATTTCTAAAAGATATACACAAATTATAAACAGACAATATACTAATTTGTATTTTTTCTTAAAATTTTAAAGTAAATAAAAATAGAAGGTAGAAAATTATTTGTCACAAGTTGTTTTCTTAGAAAAATTATACATTTTATATCGAACCTTCATGATACTGCAAAATGCAAAACAACGACTGAGACCGAGGACTGAACGCTGAACTCGGAACTACTGAGACTGAGAGACTGAAAGAACTAATCATGGAGTGTCTTATCGGAATACAAGGAAAGGATTTTGTCCTCCTGGCGTCTGACACAGTATGCGCTCGGAGCGTAGTTGCTATGAAGGATGGTATGTTCATCGTTAAATGTTGTTTTAGATTTCAGAATCAAAGTAAAAAGCGGTACTTCACTGCAACTGCAGTGTTGTTCGATGCATCCCACCTGTTCTCGATAAGACCATGACAACAGCAGACTCCACAGCATACAACCGTACATGTAGATCTAGATCTATTCCTAATTAGTCTGTGTGTATATTATATGCTTCATGCTATTTCAATAGGTACATTTATATTTTCAGATCACGACAAAATGTTTACCGTGAGTGACAATCTTTTGATGGCTGTTTGTGGTGAGGCAGGAGATAGTATACAGTTTCCAGAGTACATTTCAAAAAATGTTCAGCTGTACAAGATGAGGAATGGTATGTTGGATAGATGTAGATTCTAGAATCTAGATCTATTATGTTGAAACTTTTTGCTTTGGTGAATGTCTGTTTACTTTAGTTTATATAAGAACTAATAGAATCTCCTTTGACTTTTCCTTTTTGCCTTCTGTGGTATTGACCGTATTGACTCGTGTGGCTCCATATTTTCTGTTAACTTGGTCTTCCGTTACTAGAAATCTAGATTCTCTAAATCTAGAATCTAGATGGGAATGAGATGAATGACATTGGCATGGCATGACAGTGAGGTTGATAAAAAAAACTATATAAAAAAGACATAAAAGGTACTCCAGGTTTAAATAAATTGTGTCTCTGTTGTAGATTCGGTTGGACAGTGCCTTCCTATGACTATGGGACACAATGATCGGATAGTTAGAGAACGTTAGGTGTACGCAATTGGCCGATATTTATAGTAGCAGCCATCAACTATCCGCTTGTCACAATGATGCGGACAATGCTGGCCAGCATTCACGACAACGTCTTCATTACATTTTTACTCATTTATCATTTTGAATTTCATTTGTTATTAATTTGTGCAACTTAAATTTAAAACTTATTGGAATTTAGTTATTTGGTTCATATTTTCAGATTGCTGAAAGAAGTCTCATTTATTCCCCCTGGATTTAAACTCAGTACTTGTGCTAAATTATTAAGTTTTTCTTCCAAACTTTTTTCTGTAAATGCAAATTGCAGTCAAACTTGTCTAAGATGGCCACCCGCAGGGCTGTCAGCCATTTTGATTTTTTCGTAATCATTACGATTTTTTAGCCTCACTACCAAATTCCGATCTCAAGGCGATTTATTACGATTTTTACCGTCAGCAGATTTTTGGCGGCTGAAAAATTTTTTTTTTTCCCTTTTAAAAATATTATTTTATAAGTCTTCGTGCAGGCCTGTAAATTGTCCGCCAATAGCCGGAAAACCGCCAATCTCTAAATCAACCCCCCGCCCCCCCTTAAAAAAACGAACGTGCGAGTTACCCTTGCCCACAATAATACCGCATACAAGTAGAAGCATCGCTGCCACGCTACTGAGACCCAAGCAGTCTAAAAATAAATTTTAGCGATCGGCCAACATGCGGCGTGAGGCGGTGTGCCTTCACCCCGCTCGCTTAGCCCATCTCGATGCTTCTGCCGCAATCTCTCGTTTGCCCTGTTCAGACATATTATTTTTGTTCGTTGTAATAGTAATCTGAAAATGAGAGCACTATTACGAATTTTTATGGGAAATTACTAATTTTCTTTATGGTCATAACTAAAAACCATGGAGATGGGTTGGCAGCCCTGCTCCCGTTGTCGAGGAGGAAAGTGGATGTCTTAGACATGTGGCCATCAAATACAGCGTCATTAAAATATTTAAAAAAGAGAGTGTCTACGTACATGGTAACCGGGCAAGTAGTCTCAGAGTCTACTTACATAGTAACCGGAAGGTCCACCTTCGTTCTACAGAGAAGGATCATGTTGTGCGACTCACCAAGTTGTGTGTGCACTGTGCGAACTCCGACATTCTCCGATGTCTGCATTTTGTGAGGCCACATTGTTTGACAATGGCCATTTCAGCTGCCTTTTTTTCTCTATATCTAAGTTCATAGTCATAGACACCTTACAAGTGTAGATCTAGATGCACGACTGCTCCATCTGACCCCTACAGTGGGACTTTACCGATATCCCGTTTTTTTTCTTTGTAAACTTAATTTTGCTTTCGCTTGGGTTTAGCGGGCAAGGAAACTCCCGAACTTTGATACAGCTGAAGAGATTGAGGGGGCTGTAGGTGGGCTCCAAACAGGCAGTCAGCGGTGCAGCGTTGTGATTGACCTGTCCAGTGATGAGTGAGGGGGGTGGTGAGGCAAAGCAGTTACCTTGCTCAAGGGGTCCCCAAAACTTTATACCCGGTTACAGTGTACGTGGATACTGAGACTATGTGCCCGGTTACTGTGAACGTAGACATTCCCTTGAAAAAAAAGGGGGGGGGGAATCATGGGAAGTGGCCGTTTATACGGGTGATTGTGTTGTGTGTTTATAAGTGGCCCTTAGAGTAGGTTCTACTGTACTTTATTCTTTTGCAACTGGTGTGGTTTTATGCTCTTGGAAGTAATTTAAAGGTTCTGGAGCTGCTGCAGCACAGATAATAAAAAATTTTGATTCCCCCCCCCCCCAAAAAAAAGTCTGTCATGTTGGCCCAGGCAGTATTCGTAAATTAAAAATCAGTTTTGAATGTTATAAATATTATTGTCTTACTTTTCTTGTGGTCAGAGGAAAATATAATCCCCAATTTTGAGCTGCTTGACCTAGTAGAAAACACCATGAGTCAGAGCTTGGTTACAGAGTATCGACTTAAAGGAATAAAAGAAAACGCAGTCTGTGATCATTGTAACGCTCCGGGGGTTGTTATACTTTGTCTATACTGAACTTATTATGTGATAAGATACCACCCTTTGTTTCTTTTGATCACCTGCATCATGAATGTTTGGATTATGGCTTACAGCCTGCCCCCTCCCCCATTGTTTGGTTATTATACATCTTATTTTGTGTGTGGTTTTTCAGGGTATGATTTGTCCCCTCATGCTGCAGCTAACTTTACAAGAAGGAACATGGCTGAGAGCTTGAGGTCGTCTGTAAGTATGGGAGAGCTTGTGATTTGAACTGTCTGTAGTGAAGATCTTATGATGGCCATGGACTATATTGTGGTCGTTATTCTATTGCAATATTAAATTAATTTTTTTTGTGCTACAATGTTCATATAATGTAATATGAATATTATTTCTTTGAATTAACAGTTAGAGTGGGGCTCTCGTAGTCAAGAGGTTATGGTGTTTGCCTCTCAATCAATTGGTCCCGGGTTTGAATCTGGATAGCGACGGAAATTTTCTTCTCTGAAATTTTCTCCTTTCACCCCCTTTCCTGGTTTCTAAATATGCTCTGTCGTCTGTTTTCGTCTCCACTCTCTTCCCCCATGCCCTCACCTCCGTTGACCCCTCCTGTGGGCTCCTGACTCTTTCTGCAGCCTTTCTACCGCTACTCCTTGGCTCCTTTTTACTGTTGTCTTTCAGCCACACCCTTAATCTTATGGTAGGTAAGATGGAATGCATAGTCATCTTGGATAAGGGCGAAAAATCTCGGAGGTCCCGTGTGCAAGTTGCGCACGTTAAAGATCCCTTGGTGGTCTAAAAGCGATAAGAGTAGGCTTCGGCTGCCACCTGGGCAAAATTCAAAATTTCCTACCAACTGAAAATGTTTAATGTGTCCCGCGCGCTCTTTTGACCTTACGCAGTTGCGAGTGCCGTAAAACACTTTAAATCCCCCCACCCCCACCCCCCCCCCCCAGTTAGAGTATAAAAAGCAAACTTTTTGTAAAGACGAGTTGTTGACTTTTTGAATACATAATAGTACTCTAAGATAAAGCAAAGTTCTCACTGTAGATAGTCCAATGAATTGAAGCAGCCTGCTGAAATTTTGTATTACATGTATGCTGACTTCACTGCATTCTGTAGGGCATCCTGACAAAGTGGTAGTAACCATGCCACAAACTTCATTCTGTGCAATCTGTGTCTTCTTTGGTGTTTGAAAAGCAGTAAGTCTCTAAAACAATTTCTTTAAAAAAGAATGTTTTAATGACACATCAGTAGTCAGGATGACTGGCTTACACACACCCTATTTTTTTGTTTTGTTTTTTTCTTCTTAGTTGTAATGGTAGGAATGGTGGGGGGGGGGGTTGTTTGTTTGTTGTCTTTTTTTTTAGACATGTATTTTCCAGTGATGCACAAGTTTTCAATACACCGCTCCTGTCTGTGTTGTATTCTTCACAATGACTAAAGAGAGGTCCTAAATGTAAGAAGAGAGTGATAGGGTGAAGGGAAAGACAAATGTAGCCACCTCTTATTCAGTGGTGTCAGCTGCTCATGTTGTCTACTAAGCTGAGCTGCTCCCACAAACATGATCTCTCTCTTTGTTGTGTGGTTCAAAGGTATTTCTTATTTGTATGTTTTTATTTTTTTGTTTCTCTGAGTCATGACAGGTTGTTATAGAAACTGCAAGCTACCTTTTCCCATTCGTTGCCTTGTGTTACCTTTCTTTTCTGAGTAAACTCAATTTGTCATGTTTTTTTAAATTAAATTTTTGTTGTTGAGATCTAGCAACAGTTTTGCAGCGCTCTCAACACAGTTAGATTGTATAGATGCTACATCTTACATTTAACTTTCAATGAAGGTGGGGTCCTGAGGGTGAAACTTCTTTTCTTATTCATTATCGTACCTTTCACTTTCACTATTTCTACATTACGAGCACCATCTGCATGCAAAGATCAGGTTCAGGGGTAAGTCCTAGTTTTTGCTTCAAAAGAGTTTTAAATAAACTTGTTTGTGTAGTTGGTGGGTGCTCTGGTGTAATTTTCTCCTTCCTTTCTATGATGAAATATTTGTCGTCTTTATCTCTCCTCCTCCTTTTCTTTGTATCTCTAGTAACACCTCTTATCTTCGGCTCTAAGTGATATGACATGTTTGTGTTGCAAGTGCCATAAAACTTTTTACTAAAACTAAAAATTTAAATTTCTGTAACTTATATTCTTTTTCAGAGAAGCCGTTTTGTCAATCTCCTTCTTGCTGGCTATGACAAGGATGATGGCCCCTCTCTGTATTTCCTGGACTATTTGGCTTCCCTCAACAAAATGCCATTTGCAATTCACGGCTATGGCAGTCTGTTTGCCCTCAGTATCATGGACAAATATTACCAGAAAGGTAATGTTATTGTTTATCAATGCTATGGAATTTATACTTACTTAAAAAAAAGAACTTTCTATCTAAGTGTTAGACAGTACAGCATAATCTGCTTTATCTGAAATTTGTGGGACTGTTGGCTTGTCATCGGTTTAGCCAGGTTTTGTTTTATAGAAAAGTTGCAGAGATAAAAGAAAAAAAACAACTGGGAGGGTTTATATTTTCACTGTATTTTTAGTACAATGTGCTTCTTCTAAGATATGATAAACATAAAAAGACAGATTTTGTGCCATTTTTTTTTTTTGTGCAAAAATTTGGAAACAAGGTGGGAGTTGTTTTTTGTCCTGCTGAAATTTTCCATGGTTGTTCTGCCATTATGTCAACGGGTAATGGGTGGATATACTTGTTGAAAAGCGTGTCTTGCCTTTTGGTAGATAGATATGGAAGACTGTGTGTGTGTGTGTGAGAGAGAGAGAGAGAGAGAGAGAGAGAGAGAATGTGACTGAGCTATAGGAAGCCCAAGGACACCTTGTACATGCTTGTGTGAGTGAGCTGTGCATTATTGTATTTTTATTTTTCATTGTACATAATTGTCATCTATCATTGTTCATGAATGCAATGAGTGGCATTTTTGTGTTGTGGCTTAATCTTTGTATGTTAAAGTTTCCCTCATTGACCAATGTTTATCTTATCATATCCCGTTTTGTCTCATCTTTTTTACTGATTTGCAAATTTGTTTTGTTATTCTTTTCTTTTCTTATTTGCTCACCTTTTCACTGTAAGAGAGAAAAGTCTTTGGCTTTACTTTTGTTTTTGTCAGTCAGGAGAAAAAAGAAGATAGAGGTGTTTATATGGTCGCTTTAAATTTAAAGCACAAGGGGGCCATCCTGAAAAGTGCTGTTTGGAAAAAATCGAAGGTAACGTTTTTTGCCCCTTGTTCGGTTTCCCTTTAGAAGACGAAAGTTTTCTCTATAACGAAACAAATATATACACCAATGAAACCAAACTTCTCCTGTAGGTAGGGCAATGCTCCCTTTTGGTGTAGGTGGAAACCCCTAAAATCTGGGTTAGCCTGCTTGTCATTAAAAGCGATCATATTATGTTCCATGTGCAAACAGTGCATATTATAAATTAAGTTTAAGAAGTTTATTGTCATTATCATTTATTTTTTTTGGGTCATTTTTATAATTGTTTATTTGTTCAACAGATCTGGATTATGAGGGAGCGAAGGAACTATTAGTGAAATGCATCACTGAGGTAAGTTTTAAAAATTATTATTATCACCATTAACTCATTGAACCCTGAGAATGTGACAAAAATAACACCATAAACTAATATTGTAATGCAAAAATTTGAAGACTACAACTAGATATTCATATATATAATACTTAACTCCTCTCAGTCAGAACAATGTGCTCCTAGTCATTTCCACTTACCCCCTTCTGCCAGAATGACACAGAGCTTGGGAGAGCTTGTTGTTTTCGCCTCCCCTAATTAAATGCATATTTCCGTCCAGTCCTCCAAATCCATGTGTATAGTATTGGTCAAGTTAGGAATAGACGTGATAGTACTTAGTACTTTCTTTGTTTATGAGAATTGGGTACTTGAAGGTGTTTTTTTTTTCTGCTGTGTCACTGACAATTTTGGATCTAGAATCTGAGTCCCTTTCCAAACTGAGAGTGCTTATCAAATTCTTCTACTATATATCTGCTTTTTCAGCATTTAATCTGACTTTAAGCTTTCCTGTTTCTACCAATGGTTAATTTTTTTTGGCATGGGGAACCGGGTAGATAGAGTTTCAAATTTGTCGGTGATGAAAAGACTTGAGCAAATTCTAATTAACAGTGCTGACTTAATTCTGGCTGTTCAGGAAAATCCATGCAATTAATTCTGGCAGATAGGATGAATTGTTATGATATACTGTCTTGCCAAGTCATCAGGCATCCATAGTTCTGGTATTTTTTATACAATAATGAAAAGAAAATGACTTTGGGTTTCTAGTAGTAGTCCACCACATGAACTTCTGTACTTCAAAAATCTTTTAAATTTCCAGTTAGGTAAATGATTCAACTAAGGCTTTGTACAAAAATTATGTGGCACTTTTAGTGTTTTAGATTGCTGTCATTCATTAAGAAAATGTGAAATCCCGGCCTGTCTATGTTTGGAAGTAGGACCAAACCAATATCTCATGGACGTTTGGGAGCAGGGCTCTGTGAGTTCTCCTTTTTGTTCTTCTTGTCCTCCTCCTCCTTACTTAGGCAAGCAGTTTACTTTTACTCCTGACTCTGTTTTGGCAAACAGGTAACAAGTCAATTTTGTGGTAATGAAAAAAAAAATTTTTTTTAATGGGGGTCTTGATGCTTTGTTTTTGAGTGGTTTTTTTTTCTTCCATTATTTTGATGATCACTGCATTATTGAATTGATTATTGAGAGTACTTAATACTGTACCGTAAAGACAATGCTTTCATTTTTTTCCAGATACAGAAACGGTTCATCGTCAACTTGGGAAAATTCCGGGTTCGGGTGGTGGACAAGAGTGGTATCCAAGACAAGGGAACAGTTCAAGCAGAAGCGCCCAAAGCCTGAACAAATGATTGTTGTCTAGAACTGTTCTAAGTGTGTGTGTGTGTGTGTTGAGTGTATGCTGTTGAAATAAAGTGAGGATGTAAGAATAGAGTGGCTTGGTGTCATTTTGAAAGAATGGATGTTGGTTTGTTGTTGTGTTCTAAAAAGGGATTGATTTGTTTGTGCGCAATGTCTCGATTTAAAGATGAAGTTGATGGGGTGATTGAAAAATTGGGACGGGATGCTGTTTTAAATAATGGCTTACAAATTTTGTTCTGTTCAGGTGATGGAAGTGTGATATTATTGAAGTGAATTTGGGCTCTTTACCTTTCTTTGTGCTACGTGCAGGATCAGCCATTCAGCTAGGTCCAACACACCCAGTTTGTTTTGATTAAAGATTCTGCTTTTTAAAAATAACGTACCGGTATGGAGTTTTGTTGAGAGGGATACTTTACGAAACAGTACATTTTGGTTGTTTTTTTTAAAATATGAAATTTTAAAGCAATGTAAGCTAAGAAAAATGTGAAAAGCTGCAAACTAATTACTGTTTTTAGGTCATCAGTTCTCAAGCATTATTTCTTCTTGGAAATAGTTTGTAGTCCCATGTAATTTGATTTTGGTCATCTTTTTTTGTTTCCCCAAGACTTGTTGGTTTAACATTTTCATCATTGGTGAGAAAGGCAATTGAGGGAATAAATATTTCATACTGTTTGTTTGTTTACTTTTCATTTTTGTGTGTGAGATTATGTAGAATGCACATAGCAAAATTAGTGGGGTGTGGGAATTATTTTTTAAATACAGCAGTCTCCGCTAAAGATTGTACATAACGAGATAGTTCACTCCTCACTTTGAGGCAATTAAAAAAGTGTCCTCAAAATCCGGTGGACCCTCTTCGAAAAAGCGCTGACTTTGGAAACAGAGTTACCCTACTTGCATGAAAAACAGTAAAAGCGAAACTGACAAGCTGTGTTGTTCCTATTCTTCTGAAGAAGAAACGAAAGAGAGCTTCAAAACAAAGACTGCAGCGCCATCTGAACCAATGCGCGGACTTCTGCGGACACTTTTTTGGCCAAGTGAACTATCTTGTTATGTGCAATCTCTATCTCTGCCCAAGATCCCGGTGCTTGGGAACAAGGAAAATGCGTGATCTTAGGGGACGCACCAAGGGAAGAATCTTCAGTGACCTATGTTCAGGCTCACAAGCAGTAAAATTGTTTCCCCTTCACTCTAACTCTAAAATGAACTGACGTGACCCCAGGGTGGGTTTATAACTTACTGCGAGCAAAGAATGACCAGTCACATTGGAATGAGACATGCCATTTTCACTTATTATCCTATTATGAGTCTCAAGATCTACTCTTATCCCATTGCTCCTCCAGTTCACCTCTCTGACATTTATAGCTTTCCATCTAAGAAGCCGTCCCTTTTCCCCACGGGAAGTCAATTTGTGATGGTGTTATATATATAGCAACAAACATGACGCAGCAATAATCTCCTTTTTTTTTGACATACAATTGGGGGAATTTTTAAATTTTATTTTTATGTTGAGTAGACTAAGCATAAGTGCTGCTTTACTCTTGCACCATGATGAGAATTCAGGTAAAGAATGAGCTAGATGTAATTCTAATGTTTTTAGTACCGATTCTAATTGCTTTTTTGGTGAACATGCGATCATCACTTTCAATTTTCTCATTACGCTGAAAATTTCATAATGGTCGGGGTTATTTTTGCCTAGATACATGTATAGTACTGATGTACCCTACCTAATCCTAAGTGTTGTGCACTCTGCGTGGGTAGAAATTAAACGAAGCAGGATCTTAGGAGGAGACTGCTGTACAAAGAATACAATGTACAAGAGAAAATTCTGGGCCTGAAGTTCTATTAGCGCGGCATGTCAGACTGTATTGCTTTTCATTCTATTAACATTAATGTAGAATCCTTCTATCCTTCCTCTGTCCTGTACTGTGTGTGATGAGATCGTTCCTCCTTTTTTCCAACACAATTAAGTCTCTGTGTCTACCTCTACAAGCACAAGATGATTGTAAATATTCCACACCTCCATCAGCAAGGGTTTAGATCTTTTATTTATGAGGCAGGCTGCTTCCGCCTTGCCTGCCAGGGAGGACTCGGGCTGAGTGTGATTCGGCATTCTGGTGCAACGATGGGAGATCAGATACAGTGGTTGAACTTGACCAGAATGGTCAGTGATTCAAGATCACAAAGAAAAATGTCTGTTGTAAGCAGGTGGCTGCTATAGACAGGGTCTGAGTTATGGTCATAAACTGGCTTAGACAGTCAACAGATGATTTAAAGTGTGAAATTTTAATTGTATCTTTCCATTTCATTTAATAAAATTTGTTTTACTTTGTATCTTTGATAAGAGCTTCTTTCATTGATTGAGCGTACCCAATCTGAATCTGAGGACAGGCTGGCGAAAAGCTTACTTGTAGCAAGGGACTGCTATGATGAGTAGGTTTTGAGGCCAACTTGTCATGAAAATGACTGACCATGGCCACGTTGGACAAGGTCCTCTATCATCTATGGACAGGTTAAAAGTTTCAATACCACTGAAAATAATATGTGTAGGTGTCACGAAACAGTAGCGAACGGTGCAAGTGACTGCTATGGAGAGGTGACCATTTTGGCAGGTCCGACTGTACTCCATAAGTAAGATACAAGTTGTTTCTTTGGAGGGGTGTTTCTTACTCTTACACTGACCTAATGGGAAAAAATTGTGTTTGCAGTTAGTTAAGCTTGGTTCCAAACACTTATTTCAACCCAGAGAATGGACCTCCATTTCAACTTCCACCTTTGATAAAACTCAAGAAAACGAATGGAGAGCATTGAAAACTTTCAACAACTTTCTACATGAAAATCTTTAGATTATGTCTACTTCGCACTCAAGCACGCTTAAGCTTTCTCCCGATGACCGTGCTTAAAGCCAGCATGGACTGTATCCCTTAGACACGCACGAAATACTAAAAACACAGGAATATTACTAGCACTTGCTTGCTCACACTATCTTTTTACTGAATAAAAAGCGTTCTTTTTCTCAGTATTTAAGCTGGACGAAACCAGTAACAACATAATAAGTATGGCTACATATTTGAAATAAGAAACAAAGCATTATTGAAATGTACATAAAATCAACAGGGGTTTAATCACAAAACATGACCTTCATTAATCCATGCATTCAAATTCAAGACTTGTAAACCAACACCATTTCTGTGTACTAGTCTCCACCGGTAAACAATAAAATGAAGAAAGTAGATAATCATGAATGAGCACAGCTATTGATTACCCATTATTGTCCACCACAATGAACAAATTCATACAAGGAAAAGACTTGATAATGCATCTATCTTTCAGTGCACTATCTCGAAAAATCCAAGGAGTTTTTCTAAGCGATTTTCTGCTGCTTCCAAAATGGGAGAGCTCTGCTTTGTGAACCCTACATTGATACAGGTCACTTTGATGGATTTACAATGCAGTGATCTCCAGCTAATAATACATTATTACAGCATAACTCTCTCATACTGTTCACCCGCCATCCATGTTCAGTCACTGGCCTTCCTCACTGCAAAAAATTTTGTCTCACACGCACGCTCATATGACCTTATGTAGGTGCAAGTGGGATAAAACTTTTACAAAACTAAAACTTAACTAAACAAATTGCCCCAATGTCTTTTTCTTCAAAGCAAAGCAGCAATTTTAAGTATAGGAGGGTATGTGGTGCTAGCTTCGCTTCCATCAGTTCCAAGCAAAATGAGTCATTTTATGCATGGCTGTTGTATGACCGATTATGCAAAATTATAAACACACTTCCTTCATTTTCCCCATAAGATAAACTGCTAGGGGCACGAACACACTACTACACTTCCATCTCTGTTACTGTTAGAGTAGGTAGGCCTATATATCATCACTTTCTCACAACTCAAAGCACCACACAAACATTCTCCAACAGTCAACATTTCAGTAAGCAACATGGTCATGACAGTATTGATAGCGATCATAAAAATGAACTGGTTTGTCTCAAACTAGGAAGAAACACAAGGAATTTTTCCCCCTGTAATGCCCATTCAACATTTAATTGTTGCCCACAAACATAGTCTAGCAAGCACATACTGTATTGCAGGACACAAATATCTTTTCATTCAATACGAATTCAACTGTGTAGCCTACGTGTGTTAAATACAAAGAATATATGTGAGGCATCGTGGTGAAATCAGGCACTCGTCAAAATACTGAATTCAAAGAAACCGGCATTTTCCTGCCAGATTGGAAATTTTTCTCGAATTTTTGTTTTTTGGCCCAATACCTTTTAGGTCTGTATAAAAACACGTTTCTGTATGGATTTTTACTGAAAAAGGCTGATTAAAGGCACCAAAATTGCAGATGTTCAGCTTCCTATGACTCTCAAGCTTTGGAAGTCATCGAACTTTGGCGGCCATTCTCTTGCTAATTTTACCACTGAAATCAGGCGACCCCCACCTCCTTCAATTCCAAATATCTCGACTTCTATTCAAGATAGACTGGTATCATTTTTCCTCTAAAGCAAGGCAAATGAACAAGCTTTGAAATGAAATCAATAACTCTAAATGCCAAAAAAATTGACGATCGCCTGCTGTATTTTTTAAAAATTCGGAACCTGAAAATCTCTTTGCTATGTGCGTGTTTCATGTTTCACTATATGCTTGTTCACGATGTGCTTGCTTTGACTGTATATATAATGCCACCCAATACATATATATACATACAACCTATTTTAAGCCACTTCACAGGGAAGAAGTGGCAAGAAAAAAAACCCTCCACATCGGGACAGACATAAAATAAAAATACACTGTCGTCCCTTGCAGTTTTCATAAATATTTATTGAATACAGTGGAACTCGGATTCAACGAGGAGATGAATTCCCCGTCTTTTTCCTTCTTTAACACCAATAACAATAACCTGGATTAAAAAAACACTTAAATCAGCAAGCTCGGATTCAACGAGGTCGCTTCCAGGGTGAACACCCCCTGCAGACGCGGCTTCGCTCATTTTTCTCACACAACCTTTTTCTCTTCCCGGAAACCATCATTCTTTCGTACATACTACAAACACATGCGTTGTTGGCACGCGCATGTGTGCTTGTGTGCGTGTCGGGGTGGGGGTCACAATCTCACCCCCCCCCCCTCCCTCGGCAACTGATCAATATTACAATGATAAGCTAGTCATGACGTAGATCTACGTAATGAATTAAGCGCTGGTCTATGGAATCAAAATAAGTTGCCATATGCTAGGCTAGGCTCTATAACACCAACACAACTTTTTGGTGAACAATCGAGATGACACAGGCTTGCATTTGAACGAATTGGTCACTGTTATTAAAAACGGAGATGCGACATGAAAGCATTGAGGTCGCGAACTCTCAGTGCAGTCTCACCGTCGCCAACTCGGGTTCTGTTGTTTGCGTGACGTCACCTGACTGGACTGGGGACAATTTTAAATGGCCATTTCAGAGCTTGTGCTTAATGTAGACAAACACTATGTTACACTAATTACATTTTTTAAATCTGCGTCATCAAATTAGGGTGGTCACCGAGCAGCATTACATAATATTTTAGGAAATTCATGTTTTTCCCCCCTAATAAAATGCTTCATAAATACCAGCTGTACCGTGGTGTAATTTTTTGCTTAGATCTAGATCTAGGCCTTAGGCGCCCTCTATGTGGATCAGGCAGACACCTACTGGCGCTGGTCAGAGTCGATCTTCAGTTGCTTGAGTTTCGGCTTTCTCTTTGTTTTCGCCCTTGCTCAGTGTCTGTAATTATCTACCTAAAACCGCATATTTGCTATAACGAACACTTGCATTCAATGAGATTTTAGGTCAGGGCCTGCGACCTCGTTGAAACGAGTTCCACTGTATATATATTTCGTCTAATGCTAATAAATGATAAATAATAATGGTCTTTCCAATCAGAAAGAATAAACAGATACAGATCTCAGTATGTTGACAGACTCCTTCAAGTAACGTGGGTAAATAACCAATAATTTATGACACATTCTCTCCCGTGGGTCAAGTGCGTGCATGTTCTTTTCGTTTTTCAAACACACACAAATTTTGAATTTTGATCCACGAGAGTACCTTTGGGCAACTAATTAGTTAATGGAGGGACCCGAAATCAATCCCAGGGAGAATACTTCATCAAGTGAAATGATATAATACAAGTCTCAACAGGCAGGGTAAAATTGATTGCACTAGTCCTTACAATAATAATAAATGAGTCCTTTTCCATTAACTTTATATGGAATGATTTCCGACACTGTCTCTATTTTTCTACACTGAAACATAAAACAGTGCTAATGAACACGGTTGACCTCTTTTAAATGAAAAAAACAACTATTCATCTATGAAGGAGAAATCACTTTCTTTTCCGGCTTCTCAGATTAAAATTTCTCTGCTCTACATTCTGTACCGATGATCGGGGAGAAGAAATTTTATCGTCCTCGTAATCATCCCTTTTCTTCGCTGCGTCAGCAGCAAATATAAACTTGGTAAGGGAACTGCCAAATTGTCTGGCATGAAAATAAACAGCAAACATCATGAAGTGAGCGCAAGAGTAGATGGCAATCAGAAGGGTGAACAGGTCTGGATACCTCACAGGTGGCTTGACCAACAGGAAAACCAAGGACACTCCTACAGCACCCAGAATGGACATCTGAAACTGAGAATTCCAAACATTTTGTGTTTGAATTTAATAAAGTGAAGTACATTGACACAACAATAATCCTTTAGCGTTGGGAATGAGCACGACAGACATGCAGGTGCAACAGAAGGAACATAAAGAAGTAAGACCAACCAGTAGCAGCCTCCAACCACCCACAAATCAATAATTAATACAAACTGAACTATAGAACATTCTGAGTAATTATAATAGATAGTTCGCAGGAAAATAGTTTCCTGTCAATCGCACAGCATGGTAACCTGTAAGATATTTAAATATCATTTACATGTTTAATCAAATTTCACCGACTGCTTTACCAATGACACATTTCATCAAATTATACTGGTAATTAGTTGATGTAATCAAATTTTTCCGACAACAATACCTAAAACAAAAATCAGTCACAAATGGGAAAGAACAAAGAGTATCAAATTCTTTTCAGTAATTTGTCAGAAAACATATTTGCAGGAAAAATACCACATATGAAAACAAAACACTTACAAATAAAATAAAAATGCTATTCTAACATCAGAGAGCTATGAAGTTGTTTTTGTTTTTGGCTAATAAAAGCATCAAAGTGATCCTTACAATGAGTTTTAACTCCCTCCTGATGCCCTCAGTCGGCCGCAGATAATAGTGGAGGATAATCCAGAACAACAACGTCGTTGCAATGACAGGGATCAACAAGCCATCCTTCAGCAACAAGGGCAACATGCTGTAATAGGAAAAAAACAACCTTTACAAACATTTAGAACTTTTTCTCATTTTGCAAGCACCATGAGAATTTTACATTTGTTTTAGTAAGAGTTAACACGTATACATCATAATTGCTGAAGGTTAGAAGTGTTACTAGAGAGTAACATACAAAAAAAAAAGGGAGAGGTGATGATAGATGTTTGATTGGAAAGAAGAAGCTTACCACACCGGTGAACCTGCCAACCACCCATCCAACATTCACACCCATGAGTAATCTAGATCTAGCCTGAATATCTAATTTTTCTATAACTCGTTCACACCTAAGACACTTGCCATCATATGACACTTTTCCACTCACAATCCGCCACGGTTGGGATATCCAATTAACTGATAATAAAGGAAATCTTCTTGTTCTTATATAATTAATAACATTATCAGCAAGAATTTCAGTTTGATAATATTTTCAGGTTTCTCATAATATCTTTAGTTTCACAACCTGGCTACCACAGAGCAAGTTAAGTTCGTTTGAATCTGATAATTTTTTCAATGATTCCTTAAATGTTTCTTTTTCAGAATCGAGCTTGAATCTAGAGAGTATGGAGTTAGATACTCCATTTCCTTTCAGGTGAGGGAAATATTTTCAGAACAGGGCCTCAGGTGTGTGACTCTTACCTGAACACAGAGATTTGTAGGAACCAAAGGACGATGAATGGATCTCTGGCTACCACTAGGCAGGCAGGTCTGGAACAATCACAGAATTCGATTTTATAATGATGAAAGCACAAAGTCAAAGAAATATTCCACATATTTTATTCTTCATTTGAGTTTGAATCACGTCAGAACAGTGACTGTTATCAATGCGGGAAATAGCAAGACAGACAGAGAGAAAAAACAGAGAAAGAAAAGCTCTTGGAGTTGGAGAACAGCCCTTATTTCAGTGTGTGAAGAACAATGACCACAAAATCAAATTTGTACGTGTTTTTTGCTTGAGTTTTTTTTTTCAGTGTAAGGGTCTGTACATATGTGTGTGTATGCTCATGTGTGTGTGTGTGTGTGTGTGTGTGTGTGAGTGTGTGTAATTTAGTGTAAATATATCGTTCCAATGTCCCTTAAAATGTTGATAAATTCATTTCTACCCTGTGCGAATTGACCATGAAAACAATAAGATTTCATCATTACAAAATGACCAAAATAAAATATGGCCTAAATACATAGCATTTAGTTACCTGTTAAAATTTCCCCATTGTTCATCATCACTTGCTTTGATTTTGATAGCATTAACCACTTACATCCCAATTCATGAGAAAGTGGACTTTCAATAATAACAATAATAAGCATATTATCATATCCATGATCTATAGTATTCTTTGGCCACTTTAGTTATTATTACCCCAGCAGACCCTAGAACACTCAAAAACATTCTTGGCTTCCCAGGAAGCATACAGTGCAAGCTGCAGATTGCACACGCTCAAACACTAACAACTGACAAGATCTTTTGTTGTCTACAGCTGGGTACTCAATTCAAACTGGGTGAAATGAGGAAAATGAATAAAAAGTGCCTTTCACAAGGACACAATGGTGTCATTTGAACCCTACACCTGAAAGTTGAGAGTCTGAGAACTTAACCACTAGGCCACAGGCGCCACAAATTTCATTTGCATAACTGCACTTCTGAAGTGTACTTACATAGTGGCCAAAAGAATAGTCTTTTCATGAACATGGAAGGAAAACAGGAAGAAAATCAAGGATGAATTTATCTGAAATAACAAAAGAAAAAATAATTAAAGAGAATCAATTCGTAAAGTATGACAATAATAAAACATTCTGAATACAAACTAAAACCTTTTTTAAAAATTTGCAATTAATAATTTATATCATTCAAACTATAATTTACACAGAACTAATCCATCATCTAAAATGTTTGGCTGAAGTTGATAAAACAACCAATGGCCAAATTTTCAGATAAAAGAATCCTGGCCTTTTCTTGCGCAAATGTCTTCCCAGCTTTGCTATCAAGCGACAAATTTGACTCACTTCCCTTTGAACCGCAGGGCCATTGAATCGAAAAGCACATTCTTTTTAACTGAGATCAGTTTCAGAAGTCAAGTCCAAATACAGCACAACCTCTAGGAGACCCCACAAACATCAGACAGTATTAAGTAGTAATGTTACAAACTTACAGTATGAGCAAAGTAATGTATTATTATTTTTTGTTGTTCTAGTTCTAGTAAGAGTTTTACGGCACTTGAAACACAATAAGGTCATATAAGTGCCGAAGATTAGAGGTGTTACAAGAGAGTAACAAACATAAAAAAGAAGGAGGGGAGATAAGGACGACAGATGTTTGATAGGAAAGAAGGAGCAAACCACACCAGAGCACCCGCCAACCACCCACTGAGCAAAGTTTAGGTTTACTGTTTTAAAACACTTGCAAAAATAGGTCATATAAGAGCTGAAGGTTAGTGGGGCTACTAGAGAGCAACATATAAAGAGAAGAAAGAGGAAAGATGAAACAGATGATACATGTTAGATAGGAACGAAGGAGCAAATCGCACAAGAGAACACACCAACACAGAGTACATTTTTGGGGGGGTAAATGTTTTACTGTGCTCACAACTGCATAAGGTCATATGAGCGCGCAGGACACATTAAAAATTATCAGTTGGTAGGAAATTTTGAATTTCACTCGTGCGGCAGCCGCAGCCTACTCTAATCGATTTTAGACCACCAAGGGATCTTTAACAGGCGCAACTTGCACATGGGACCTCTGAGATTTTTCGCCCTTGTCCGAGAAGGCTAGGTGTAGATCTTTCCTACCAGAAGATAATGGGTGTGGCTGGAAGACAGCAGTAAGAGGGAGTCAAGGAATAGCAGTAGAAAGGCTGCAGAAAGAGTCAGAAGCCCAGAAGAAGGGACAAAGGAGGTGAGGGGGTGGGGGCAGAAAGCAGATGATAGAACATTGTTAGAGAACAGGAAAAGAGGTGAAAGGAGACAATTTTATAGAGCAGAAAATTTTTCCGTCGCTACCCGTATTCGAATCGGGGACCTTTGAATGAGAGGTGAACACCTTAACCTTTAGGCCACGAGTGCCCCCAACAGAGTACAGTAAACACAGCACAGGATAAGTCAAATTACTTACAGAAGCATAGTGAAAATTTTTCATGTTTGGATTCATCAAGAGGTGGAAGAAAGAAGGCAGTAAAAACACAGCAGTTGTCGCCAAACTGTGAAGTAAACAGAATGCGTGATAAAATGTAAAAACCTGTTCAAAATCCCTGGGTGATGGCTGGGCAAAACAGTATAAACTATAAAAGCATCCAAAGGAATTGTCCTGGGTCAAAGAGTATGTATAAGATACATCACTCCTAAAAATAGAGTCCTCCAAAACGTATGCAATTCAACAAAGAAGTTGCAGCTAGCACTGTTATAATGGATGAGTTGTTTCATTGCTCAAGTAGACAAGTAATTCTTCCTACTGAAAAATCTTTCCATAAGTAGAACTAAATATGTGGACTGCAACCACACTTTTTCAAGTAAGAGAGCAACAATTTTGTTCAAAATCTTAATAGATAAAGTACTTTTTCATCAACTTTTTAATAGAGTTTTATAGGGCTATGAGTTTAGTATTGACTGAAAGCACATTTTTGAGAGAAAGCTGAGATACTTGCCAAGATGGATGTTTTCTAAACTGACAGAACATTCAGCCTCTTACCAAACAAAGGCCATAGCTGCTTGAGACAACATCTCCTTAAACTTGATCAGAATAGACACAGAACACCAAAAATTTGCAACCTTGTCCTGAAAATAAAATCAGTGAGCTCAATGTTATTACACTATAATAAAATATCTCATATATTCACTCTCAAAGTACATAAAGAGTATGTCAAGTACAAGACCTGCCACATTTCACCAAAAATACAAGTTTAGTTTTAGTAGAGGTTTTACGGCGCTCGCAACTGCATAAGGTCATATGAGCGCCAGAAGATTAGAGGTGTTATAAGAGAGTAACAAACATAAAAAAGAAGAAGGGGAGATAAAGACGATAGATGTTTGATAGGAAAGAAGAAGCAAACCACACCAGAGCACCCACCAAAAGTACAAGCAACCAGACAACAGCATTAATTACACATAAATGAAAACTCTCATGAATACACTATTTAAAGCAACACCAATACCAGATATCAACCATGAACTGTCCCTCCAAGAACAAGCAATCATCTTCAGATTAAGAACACAACACACAAGACTCAGATAAGACAGACAGATGTTTTAAACTACTACAATCACCAATATGCCAGTGTGAAGAAGCGGACAAAACTGTGGAACACATTTTTCAACAGTGCAAGACACACAGGGCCCTGAGACAGGAAACATGGTCAACCCTATTGACACATCAAGAGAAGCTGTATGGGCTATCAGAAGAACTGAGCAGGATGGCCCAGTATATGATAGAAACCAGACTTCAATAATGCGATAAGAAGAAGACCAAAAGACCAAAAACACATGTGGTTATGGCATTCTTGATCAGCTTTGGTGATGCAGAGTTTGGTTCCGACTTAATTGAGTTAAAAAGTAGAAAACTCACCTCATAAAGTCCCCTCTTCACGGGGAACAGCCGATGGACTACAGCCAGAGCCGAGTCTACGCTGTGCAGGAACGGTGACCACAGAGCTATGAACGTTATCGCAACCACCAGAACCAGCATTGTGAACTTGAACAAACTGAAAAATACATTAATATCATCATAAATAACGTTATGGAATCCGGGAAACAGAGAAATTAAGTCACAAAACTTTCGTAAATATCAATTAAAAGTGACAGTTTAGTCTAGGCTTAGTAAAAGTTTTTCGGTACATGCAGCACAAATAGGGCATGGATATGTGCTGAAGATTGAGGTTTTACTAGAGAGTAAAATACAAACAAAAAAGAAAAAAAAAGGAGAAGAGGAATGGATAATGGACATTCAATAGAACAGAAGGAGCAAACTACATCATAGCCAACCACCCTCATGGAATCATTGAAGAAGAAAAATAAAACCACCAAATGTTCTTAAAAATCAATTAAAACAGTAAGAAACACTAATAATTAAAACAGAATGAGTTGTGATGGCAAATACTATTACAACACAAAATTCCATAACACTTTCTTACAGAATTTTCAATACGCAAAACCATCATGAGACAAGCACAGGACAAAGATTATCATTTGTAGATACTGCAGAGAGCCTTCTATATAGGTTCTATTTTATTACTGAATTTGACTAAAAACGTGTTTGATTTTCAGTTGTGAGTCGAATTGGTTATATTCTGCCAAAATGGTTGCTCTTGCTCCTCCATAAAGGAAAATCTGGCTGGTCCAGACTGAATTAAATGAAATCCCTTAAAAGTGTGTACTCAATATGAGATCAACTTCAAATAGCATGCAAAGAACAAGAATTACGTGAACTTGATAAGTGTCTCACCCTTTGGAGGGATTCGTCTGTCTGATGCAAGAACCGAAAAGGTAGGCAAAAAACGGCAAGGCGTGGTACAACTCCATCTGTTTGTAGTTGAGAGAAAGGCAAAAGAGGAAGGCACCGACCAAGTCAAACCCTCGGGTCAGGGCAGAAGAGGCCAGGACCACAAGACCCAGACTTATACTATTGTATCTGGACACAGAGTCAAGGAAATATAAACATGTTTGTTTTGTTTTGTAAGAGTGAAGATTAGCTCCTTCTCTATTATCAAACATCCATAATCCTTATCTCTCCCCTTTTTTTTTGAGCTTGTTACTCTCTTGTAACACCTCTAATCTTCGGCATTTATATGACCTAGTTGTGGTGGAAGTGCTGTAAAAAAAACTCTTATTACTAAAACTAGACTGGCCCACAGGCTTGTCAAACAAGTTTTTCAAAACCCAATCAGGGACATATAGCTTAATAACACTAAATTACGTAACTACAAACACAATTTCATCAGGTGAGACTGATTTTGGTATTGTGTATGGGATAGGACTACAATGTCCTCTCAATATTCCTGATTGCCGAATCTGGGACAGTCTCTGGAATTTCAGGACATTGGGCAAACCTGATCACATCAATACAATTATAATGGTAACTAAGTGGCGGGAGAGGGTGAGGGGCTGGGGCAAGATAGGCAGACAGAAACAAAAGGAAAGAAAAGAAGTATGACATCTCTACAAATAGCATCTTCCAACCACCTGCAAAATGTCATAGAACAGTGACTTATAAATCATATGTCAACTCTGAAAAATTTATTTCAACCTAGGGGAATTCATAAAAAATTTCCATCTACAATATCATCAAAGGATACTGGAAATGTCCACTGTCCACCAACACCAGACCAGGGTAGCCAACGAGGACCATGATGCGTTTGAGCTGTAAGGTAAAAAAAGATCTGTCAATTTAAGGCCCATGGATTTGGTGGTAAGATTTTTAAACAGAAAACATACGAGGCGAGAAATACAAAACTGACTTGTGTCCTAAATTGCAGTGATGTTTTGTTTGCTTGAGTAGAGAGGAGTGCATTGACGCAATTAGGATTATTTCATGCGGGGAGAAGGTAATATAGACAGACAGACAGAAATAACAGAGGGAGAGTAAAGAAGTAGGCCCAACCAGTGGCACCTTTCAACCATCCACAAAAAATTACAGTGAATGACAAATAATTCTTTTTTTAAGTTTCAGTAAAAAGCTCATTGACACAATAATAGCATTCAGAACTGAGAAAAAGCAATACAGACAGACACAAACAACAGAGCAGAGAGTAAAGAAGTAGGGTCTACCAATGGCGCTCTCCAGCCACCCACATGATGAGTCTGTCAGGAAATGGTCACATTTCACCCACAGGTAGAAAAGATTATGAATGCATTAAAGAAGATAAGTTGATGCAGCACATCTCATTAAAGTTACAGCACCCATCATCCATTTGTACACCTGTTACATAGCATATCAGCAGGTTTTTGTATTGAGTGCATTCAAATTGATGGCTGAGTGCAAGACTGACATTAATCAAATTGCAAAATGGTATTTGTCGGAGTCTCGCATCCAGCCATTAAAAAGGTAACTGAATGAATCACAAGCAGGAGAGAGTAAGAGATGACAATTAAAGTTGGAAATAAGAGATGGTCAATATATCATTTATGTATTTTGATACAGATAAATGATAAATGTGTCAATTCAAAGCGTAATCTAAAACAATGAATACAGACTGGCAAGCATGTGTGAGGTAGAAATTCTCAGAGTTACGTGGTCATTTCTACACCACAGTATAAGACTCCGCCGAAGGTCACTTTTCAAAATAATGTACGGTGAAGTCCTGCACTAAGCAGTCTATTTTCATGGATGGTATAGTAAACGTATATAATGCACAAGATGAAATTATTGATCAAACACAAAAAGGAAATCATTACTTACAATACTAGCTTCGTCTCTTTTCCCACTTCCTTCCAACATGAAGAAAGCGGCAGCAGAGGGCAGAAAAAGCAAAGCGTCCATCACGATGACTGTGAACAGTAACACAGTAACATTCAATAACTATTTCTCTTCTTAAATATTTTGATTTCTTTAATAGCTCACACAACAAAGCACAGCAATGGATGAAACAATATGGAGGAAAACAAAATGCGCTCCACTTTTAAACTTTAAAGAAATTGTGGAAGAAGAGTTCAAGGGAAATAAAGGTTTCATTATTTGTGAGATGTCTAACATATTTTTCAGAATTTAATTCTATTTCCTTTATCTACATAGTCCAAAATACATGTAGAGCAAAACCTTATTAAAAAAGGTTGCAAAATGTAAAAATAAGAACATATTATCATTGAACATTAGCAAAAAAGACTCATATTCAAGACATCAGATGTTTAAGTGTCAAATGAGAGGCAAAATAAATTACCTGTAGCCCTCATGAAGAACTTCACTTGAGGAGTTTCTATTCCTCTGGACTCATGCAATGCCACAATACTGCTGTTGACATGCTGTGCTCTGGAGAATAATAATGATAATAGATAGCATTCATATAGCACAAATCCCAGCTCAACAGCAAGCTCTATGTGCTTCACAATCTATACCATTACCCCAGCAGACCTGAGAGCATTCTGAAACAACCTAAACTTCCAGGGAAACATACAGAGCAAGCAGCCATTTATAGGCGCTAAAACACTCACATACTGACAAGATCTTTCGCTGTCTATGGCCTCACGATTGCGAGTCCGGTAGTCTAACAACTAGGCCACCGATGCCACGAATATACACACAACTGCATAATTGAAAGCATGGAAAAATATGCCAAAACAGTACACCAAAGTATTAGAAAAATAATAAGCATTAATAATAGATCAAAAGTTCACTTCATGATATTAACCGTTCGGTTAGAATGCCGGTTTTGCAATGATTTTTCCACTTAAAAATCTTATTTTTACATATTTGCTCTCAATGTGCATATTATAATTAAAACTAAAATGTTAACGAGAAATAAATTTTACATCTTTCCGTTGAGCATCATGTGGTAGGCTGTCAAGGGGGGGTAATCAAGTCCCCAGTACTGCAAGTCATTGTTGGGGGTGTCGACATACCTAGGAAATAGAAAAAAATCTTGTCTCATAAAGTGGAAAAATTAACAAAGAAAGGATTACTGCACAGGGTACCCTAGTCAGTAGCACTCTCTCAACTTTTGAGGTTGAACATACATGCGGATTGAGAACATGTGAACAGTTTTGAGGCAAATGCAACACATACCAAATTCTAATTCTAATATGTCAACATTTGAAAATATCCTTTTAAATGGTGGGGGAAAAAATCTCCTCTGACACCAAATTGTCTTTCCCCAAAGTGCAATATATATCCTTCTCTATAACTATAACTACAAGGAATAGACAGATCATACATTTTTTATTCTGGTTGAAACAAGAAAAAGCGTAATAAATCTAAAAATGTCAATACAAGATAAATCCCACTTTGCCCCCCCACACCCACACACAGAGATTTTTCAAAGTATTTTTGCTAATAATCGTGACAGTAAGATTCTCATGCTTAAAGGCCACATTTGAAAAAGTATGAGAAACTGTGACAGCTCTTTCAGCAAAACTTCCGAAAAGATTATAAATGTATCTGTCACTCTTAGCATAATTTAGTTTATGAGGTGAGCTAAATTTAACTACAGTCGAACTTGCCATAACGGAAACCTGTCTTAATGGAATCTTCCCGCTCCCCCCTTGATATATTCCTCTTTAATTACCTGTATAAAACGGAAACCTGTCCAAGGCGGAAACGGAAAGAAAAATGCACTCCCTTCCAAGGATTTTACCTGTCTTAAGAAGGAAAATGCTTTGCCAACTCAGCACTGATTATGAACAAAACTCACAATTTTGGTTCCACTAGCTCTAAACTTAACCCCATGCTGCCAGGCGAAGAAGGGGGAGTTGGGGTGCAATTTGAGGGTAGACGTTGCCTCATCTATGTGAGCCCTGAGCTACAAAGATGGTCAGGGTGGTGTGGGTGTGAAATCTCACGAGTGCCAGTGAAAGTGCTCAGTGGGACTCCAGCATGGAAACTTTCATTGGTAACCACAGGCCACAGGTGTGAAATTAGTTTGACCAATGCCTGCCGCCCCGATCATACAGCCAGCTGAGAAAAGAGTTCCTCGAATCATTGTTACATGGCAGTGAGGGGTGGCATTGGTTGACTGTGCTCATTACACCCATGGGTGGGGTTAAGGGTGGAAGCAAGGGAGATGTTCAAATGCTTCTATTTTTAATAGGTTTAACAGTGGTCCTAGGAAATGCAAGCACTGTGGTGGTAATTGGGTAAGACTGATGCATGTCATCATCAGAAAGTATAGCAACTGAGAGGTGTGAAGTTTTGACCACTTCTGATTGTTTGCCGACTGGACAAGCGACCCTTGATCCCACCAGCTGGGCCTTTGGACCCCCACCCCCACACCAATGAATTCCCCTAGATCTAAGTCTAAGACATTTTTTCTGGCTCCATTGCGATTCCGTCTTACACAAGTTCAACTGTACACTCTATGTGCTAGTCTCACTAGATCTCAGCCACAGAAATCTCTGTTCTCTTGTAATGTCATTCCATGCACTATGGAAAGTACTATTGAGCATCATCATTACTGTCTGGTAGTTCAAATTTATTCCCAAAAAATGTTACACCACTCGCTGTACAATTACTTATTTTTAGACTAAAATACAGCTAGACTGCTTATAAATCATGAACAAAGGGCATTGGATTTAAAATTTAAAAAATTCAATGACGAACCATTCTTTAAAAGGCAAATTAACAGTTATTTCCATCCAGTGTCTTTGTGCTTCAAAATCCCCAAACATTGGTGGCTTGCCTTCCCCTGTATTTAGAAAGAAGAAACATCAGAGAAAATTACCTCAACTGATAATAAGATTGACATAATAATAACAATAAAAATAATAATAAAAATAATAATAATAATAATAATAATAATAATAATAATAATAATAGTAACAATACTAATAATTAATAATAAGGAGGAGGAGAGGAGGAGGAGAGGAGGAGGAGAGGAGGAGGAGGAGGAGGAGGAGGAGGAGGAGGAGGAGGAGGAGGAGGAGGAGGAGGAGGAGGAAAAAGAAGAAGAAGAAGAAGAAGAAGAAGAAGAAGAAGAAGAAGAAGAAGAAGAAGAAGAAGAAGAAGAAGAAGAAGAAGAAGAAGAAGAAGAAGAAGAAGAAGAAGAAGAAGAAGAAGAAGAAGAAGAAGAAGAAGAAGAAGAAGAAGAAGAAGAAGAAGAAGAAGAAGAAGAAGAAGAAGAAGAAGAAGAAGAAGAAGAAGAAGAAGAAGAAGAAGAAGAAGAAGAAGAAGAAGAAGAAGAATTGCACCTAATTCCCAGAAGGCTCTCGGTGCTGTACAATACATAATATTTGCTCTACCTAACTGACAAAATGAAAGACAGAAAATGCACACTGTGAAACTGTTTCACAATACACATACACACACAACTCCCTGACCCACACACATTCTGACATACAAAAGCCACTGGCTGAGGAGACATGTTGAACAAACACGCCTAAACTTTTCTTAAATGAGTTTTTCATTGCCATGATCATAACCTGTGACCTCTGAGCATGAGCCTACTAGGACTGTACGAGGCCAGCCAACAAGTGCTAGCTATGGTTATTGCAAAGTCTGTTGTGAGCTATATAACATACAAAAAAAAGTTTAGCTTAGCACCTGTTGCATCTAAGAGCGAAAATGTCATTCTTTTCCTTACTCTTCTCTAAACATAACAAATTTCCTTCAGCATAGGACCTCGGAGGTGCTTTTACTCCAATACTCATTATTTTTTAATTTAAAAATGGTCCTCAAAAATCTCTAGATAGTCTATCCAGACTATCCCAAGAAAACTATTTGTTGTTCTTTGGTTTTGTAACACATTACAAGACACAAATAAATCATTTCAAAGCAGTCTTCTCACCTTGTAGTAAGAGTAAGATTAAAATACAGTTCAGCATGCACATAGCAAAATCAGTGGAACACAGAAATCTTTTCGATGTACAAGAACTAATTTCACAATACAAAATTCAGGCTATTCAAGGAAGGTAAACAAAGTTAGTCCAACGGGCCAAATTTTTATATTATGAATTATGTGCCCTATGCCGTGTTACGTTCAAAGTCTCACAGATTTGGGTTTTTGACACTGATTCTTTAATTTACATTAGCTATGGATCCTCAGCTGTTTTTCCTCTTTTCATTTTGACTCCATCCTGGTCCACTCTCTACTGCAAGATCAATAATAATGTCTCTATCTTTGTAGAACACAGGCCCTATAATAAACACCACCCTACAAATGATGCACGTGATCACTGCAATATAAATGATTTACAGAAATTGAGTAATCTAGCTACCAAAGGCCCATTTTGTGACAGCGAAACCACCCTGCCTCCAGGGCATATTAAGCTTGAAATTTCATCTGAAGATTGTCTCTAGACATCTTGAACTATGAGCCTCTAAGAGAATTTTCACATCTCTGTCAAACCACGTTTCATAGGCAAGTGTTAAAGTGTGGTTAATCTTTATGAACGAAAATTCATCAAATTTTGATGCTTTCAGATGTGCTATAAATAGATCTATTATATTTTTCCTCCATTTTAGGCTAACATCATATTCATAGTCAAAGAAAACATGTCATATCCAACTTTTACTTTTAGACCTGCATCCAAACACCTGAGGCCTGATGAGGACTGAGGAGATGAAACAACAGTCACAACAATGCCACTTTTTTAGAATCTCGTTTTATTTTTACGTTGTGACAATTCGGACACGAAAACAATCCTGTGGAACCTCAGCCCTGGCCCCCCTAGGGTAATTTCCTGTAGAGATTGGTTTTCAGCACCCTTGAATGCCGAATGACCATTTCCCGGTCACAGCAATTTTCTGCAAGCTGCAAAGAAGCATTGGTCCAAAAAGAAAGAGAAGCACGCCATTCTCAAAAAGAAAAAGACCCACAACGTATGTTACTCGCATACTGTAGTAGAAGGACACGCGCGTCCGAATATACACGAGACCTCAAACTTAAACAGACACATCGTGTCCCAAGAGACGCAGCCATATTTTTACGAAGTGACTATTTCTTCAAATGCTCTGGAAAATAAACTTGACCTCTATTTTTCCAAACGGTTTCCGTTCTCTAGATTTTTGGGGGTTTTTTTAAAGCGAGAGTTTGACGTCATCTTTCATTGTGCCATTCTGCGAGGACTGGGAAGAAGCAATTTTTGCATCAAATTCAAATTCTAGCTCAGAAAGAGATTTTTTAAGTAGGCCTACTTCATTTGTGGTTGGGCAATGTTCCCCGACTATATTTCATTTGAAAATGCCTTCAAAAGGTTGATCCACTGCGAGAAAACAAGACAGCTCGACTTTGGAAGTAATCTATTTTGCATTTAGTCACCTTTAGCTCTACAGCAAAAACTATTTAAAAAAACACCTTATAAGCGCCTATACACACATACATGCGCGTGTGGGCCACTCCATTCGCAGATAACCAAAAAATATCGAGAACGGTAACCATTCGGAGAAATTGAATTCAAGTTTATTTTCCCGATCGTTCAGAGAAATAGAGCCGGCCTTATTTTTAACGGAGGACAGACGAAAGTGAACAATGCTCATAGCTTGGGCTTGATGCATCATGACAGAGTAAGGGCAGAACTTGCACTTAAGGACTACCCAAATAAGTAAGTCAAAGGTAAGATTGTACTTTACCGGAGCACCGGTAACCGCCGGTTGGAACTACTTTATTATGGCGCCCGTGGGGCCTAGTGGTCCACTATTTTCCCTTTCAGAGCTCCCCTACTCACTTTCCTACGTCCTCACCCTTCAACTGCCAACTACCGACTGACGTCTCTAACCGGGTTTTTCAGTCATCACGACTGTGCCACAGTGCCCTTTGACCCACGACCTGATACCTTGACGCTAACTGGTCAATCTAATCATGTGGTCCACTATTCTTCTTTGCTCGCGACTCTGCTGGGCCTACCCCCCCCCGGTCCGGCCAAGCACAATGAAGGAGGGCGAGAGATGCATGAGCGCTCATTTGCATAATTGCAACCCCCTCGGTCCTGCTCGCGACTCAGCGAACGCTGCGAAGCAAGGTTCGGCCTGTTCCAACCCTAATACCTCGATTGTCCACTTAGCCTTAGCACCAGGGTCCACTCATGTTATTGTTTTGCATTTGTGTGTGTTTTTTTTTTTTTTTGTTGCCAGGGGGTCACTGTTGTTATGATACACGGTGGGTCCGCCAAAGTTAAATCCCCTATCAACCCTCAACCACCACATCTCGCACACCTCCCCTCGCTGCTGGCTTGTGCGAAGTCGCCAGCGGAACTACCTCTTGTCCGCATCGAGAACTAGATTCTAGATTTAGGAGTCCGTAGTTAGGCTAGACGCGCGTAGTAATCACGGGCCCAGACGGGTGGTCCGGTAAAGAACAATTCAGCCAAGTCAAATCTTGAGAGTGGTAGTTTACTAAGTAAGAAATATGGAAATTTGACGAGAGTACCACACCAACCACTAACAACATCAACAACAAAAGTCGAAGTGACTGAAACTGAGACAGACATTTCCCTGTTACTGCAAGCGTGATTCTTTAAAAGAATAGCAACGATAACAGCAGCTTACCCGAGTGACCCCACATCGCCACTCCCACCCGAATAGTGAGAGACGCCAGAAATATAAGGAACAACTGGGAGAAAAACTCGTTGCTGAAACCGAAACGTTTAGACGTGGACGCCGCCATGATTTCGAACATAGCCCTAGAAACACAGTTCCTGTTTACAAGATAGACTATAAATTATAGATCGACATGTAAAAAGGCCGAGAACAACTTTAAAAATTTATTTTGCACTGTACATTTTGGGCGTTTAATGAAACATGAGTAATCATTATTTTAAAGTTGTAGAAATTTTTATATTCCTAACATACTGATTTGGTGAAATTTCCAAAATAGTAGGAAACAAAACGTTTTGTTCTGTCCTTTCAATTCCTTTCAAAACAGGAAAGATTTTACAGGCTCTGTTCGGGACAAGGTCACAAGTTTATTTCCGGTATAAACATTTCGGCATCGACTCCGGCAAAAGCTCTGCTGGGTTTCTGTACTTCGTCACCTTGTAAGTTTGTTTTGTTTGATTGGATTTTATCTTGGTTGTGATTGTGATAACACCTAATATATTGTACCGTGCCCTTTGTTTCACGCTGCTGCCTCTATATTAGGGGCTCTATTTTAGACTAGTGTTTTTGTGTTTGGCCGCCTTGCACTGCACTTGCACTGCTTTACTTTTAGTTTTAGACTTCCAGAAACATTGCAATGCATAATTCAAATTCAAGCACTTGATTCTGTCACCCTTGTAAGTGTCTTATGTCCCCAACTCCTATTTGCTCCTTTCTCTATTCTGTAATGAATCAGTAGGCCTAGATCTAGGTCTATCAAGTTATAGCTCTGCCACTATCATGATATATAGATAGCCTATCTGTTGGCCTAGCCCGTCACACAACAACCTCTTCTTGATTACTACTTTTGGTAACCACTTTGGCTGGCAGGCAGGCGGGACCAGGTAGAGGGTAGCTGATTGGGTTTTGAACCCACTAGTGAGTAAATTAGGGTCTGTCTCCCGATGCATGCTAAGACTGGCTCCGGTGGACTTCACGGACGAAACCTCTCGATGGTTCCAGGGATAGAAAGGCGGTCCCAGCAGAGCGCCACGGAGTGTGACAAGGACACAGTGAGACAAGAAGGCACTGCTGGTCACCCCCTACGTCCTGGTCCATCTCCGACTGTCTCGATTTCATTGTGCCATTGGACCCAGATAGACAGGGACAAGAGAGTGAGGCTGACGACTTTGCGCAGCTCTCCCTCACTTAAATCAAATTCAAGTGCAAGTCATGACTTCATCACCCCAATCCCCCATTATGACCCTCATACTTCTCAAGTCCTGCGGCGATGAACGAGTGGTCAAGTGACAGGTGTGGACACACTGGCAGTCATAGTCACAATGCTCTCTCAGCTCCGGTGGGCCGGCCACGTTCACCGCATGGACGACTCTCGCCTCCCAAAGAGGTTACTCTATGGTGAGCTGACTCTAGGCAAACGTTCTCTCTGCGACAGTTTAAAAAATGCTTCAAAGATGCTCTGAAAACATCCCTGAAGAGATGGGACATTCCTCATACCTCGTGGGAAGAAGCTGCTCGCAATCGCACAGTTTTGGCGCTCCTTTGAAAGATCGGGAGTCGCCAAGTTCGAAGAAAAACACATCAGAAATAAAGAAATGAGACAGCATTTGAGAAAAGTTTCCAGTCTAGTTCAGCCCAAACATCCCTGCCCCCACTGCAACAGACATTTCTGAGCGAAGATCGGCCTCATCAGCCGTCTCTGCACACACACCCCACCCCTTCAATGATATGAAGTCAAGGTCAACTTCGCCAGGGAAGGACGAACATCACAACTGTTGGTACACCAGTGCCTGATGTGCCAAACTCAGGGTTATTCGTTTAACCAACTGTTTGCAAAGCAGTCCACTAATTTTTCGACTGGACCATCTGTGCTCCTGGGTATAAAAAATCTCAAATCAGTATTGAGCGCTTGCTGCACCACAGTTAGTGTGTAGTCTATGCCAGCACTGCAGTTGGGAATTAAATATGTAGGCAGAGTCATGTACATTTGTGCTGTCATATACTTGTTATGTATGCATTGTATATTGCGGGGTAGCAGCTCAAGTATCGTCACTCTCTTAGTTTTGATGAAAATCAATTTTTATATAATTCAAGGTAAATTAGGCACTAGGTGGGAAGGGATGAATTCCCTGTCGTAAATCCTCAGAGTCATGCGATTATTTTGTGAGAATACACTTTAAATTGAAATTCCAGGTATTATTGATTGATATAATAAGTGAAAAATCTTTTTTTTTTGCTCCTCCTGTAAAATTTAGAACACCTGAGTGACAACAGTTGTGCTGCTATGTCCACAGCGTTGACTGTTACAAGTTCTATCCCCTTGATGTGGTGCTCTCTTTTCAGAAGATTTTGTACGTTGTGGGAAGTGCACTGAAGCCACGGATGTCTGTGAGATCCATCTTGTCAAAGTCCTTGCAAGCCAGGGGGTTTGGAGTCAGGTCAAAACCCTTGCGTCAAAGCCTCTGTCGAGTCCTCATCTCAGCTGAAAACAATACTGCTTTTTCTTCTGCTACTGCCAGAATGAGCAGCAGTAGTTCCAATGCAAGTTCGGTTGACATTTCAGGCAACCCATTCTTTGAGAAATACAAGGCCAAAATTCAGCACATGCAAAGGTAAAAAAAAAATGAGACCAAGGGCTTATAGGGTAATGCTTTTTTATCATCTGTCTCTTCGAGGTCAAGCAGTTGAATATTCACTTTCTTTAGAATGTAATGTAATTAAAACTAAGACGACTGTTTATTTCAGTCTTTCACCTTGTTTTGGAGCAATTATTTATAATGAATTTGTTATGTAGTGTTCAGCTGCTTATTTATGTTAAATTTATCATTATTCATTTAGCTGTATATTTAGGGAGGGGGGGGGGGGGGGGGGGGGGGGGGAGCGAGGTGCAGCTTTGCTCCCTACCACCCCCCCCCCCAAAAAAAAAATAGTAAAAATATATATTATATTATAGGTAGGTATTCATTTACATCTACAGCTGGTGACGATTAAAAAAAATAGAATTATAATGAATTTATGATGTGTCCTCCTTGTCTCAGCACCAATCCAGAAGAATATGAGGAAAAGTTAAAAGAACTTGCTGAGAGGTTGGCCCCTAAGCCTGTTGAGCCCCAGGTCTCTGAGAATACGACAAAGGGGAAAAGCGAAGCTGAAGCACCGAAAGTTGTCCCACCATCTGAAGCTGCTCGAGCTGGTGTTGGAATGACACGCTCAAAAGTGAGTGCACTTGTTTTAAAATAATAATAGATAGATAGCATTTGTATAGCGCAAATCCCCTCTCAACAGCAAGCTCTATTCGCTTCACAGTCTATACTATTACCCCAGCAGACCTGAGAGCATTCTGAAACAAACTCAACTTCCTGGGAAGCATACAGTGCAAGCAGCCATTTGTAGGAGCTAAAACACTAACATACTGACAAGATCTTTCTCTGTCTATGGCTGGGTACCCATTTCCACCTGGGTGAAGTGAGGAAAATTCGTGTAAAGTGCCTTTCCCAAGGACACAAAGTCTGGCCTGCGGCTCGAACCCCAGACCCCGCAACCTCACGATTACGAGTCCAGTAGCCTAACCACTAGGCCACTGACGACACTGTCTGTTGTGAACTGCCTGTAGAACTGTCTGAGATATAGACGGTTATGATTCTCAGAGGTAGGCCTTAGGTACATTATTTATTTGTACAGGAGAGGTTCTTAGTAGGGCTGTGCGCTCCTTTCCAGGATGATATTTAGAATAAAAGTAAGAGTATGAAATATATTTCAGGACCTAATTTCATAGCTAATATGCCTTGTGTGTGTTCATGTAATGAAAAAGTGATGAGGGTTAAGATAGAGTCAAGGAGCCTGCATTCACAATAAAAAATGAAAATTTTTAATAATATGGTACCTAGGATGTTTGAACCAGTACATATTCTTTGGACCCATATCAAAACATTTCAACATGTTTCAAAGGTGATATCTTTGACGTCGTATTTTAATACATCTACCAATGGTGAAGGATTAGGGAAATCTATACGTCTCTCCTTTATCTTACCTTTGCTTTAAAACAATAAGCAGTTTTCATATTGAATTGGGTCCATGGTTGCACTGTGTTATATTTTGAGGAAAAATGCTGCTAAGTGGGAACTTGTGACTGTGTTCCTTCCTTTTTCCCATGATGCATTTTGGCTTGCTTTGTACACAATTAAATACAAATTATGTTCAGGAATACAGGAAGTTGAAAGATGAATTGGTGGGATTTTGTAGTTATAAAGAATCATTAATGTATCATTTTGTCTGATGAATGAAGCATTTTCAAAATATGAATGGAACGTGTAATCTTAAGATGTTGTAGGGCCATATATCATTTCTGAGGTGAATTCCATAGCGAAGCTTGATCTCATGAAATGTTTCAAAAATCTTTTCCAGGGCTTGGATTCCGTAATGAAACTGGAAACGATTCAGGACAAATCAGCTGATGAGATTACCCAGGTAAACAAAAGTAGATTTGTGCTAATTGTTTACCAGTACCTTGCTTGATATAGTTTGTCAGTTAGGGGATCCTATTATAAAGGCAACCTCTATTCTCACCCGGGGTGAGAATAGTGCAGACGAGTCTTTTTACTATTCTCACCCGGTGCGCGTTCACCGTTATAGCCTAGATCTAGGCCAACCAATTTTGCGTTCACCCTAAACCACAAAATTCTACACTGTGATAACAGAAAAATTGTAGAATTCTGTGCCATGAACAAACGTTCCATTACTACTGTTAGCCTACTAAAAGCATACAATTTTGTCTGTGGGCAGTGGAGAGAGAGAGAGAGAGAGAGAAAGAAAGAGAGAGAGAGGAGTAGCGCGAGAACTTCCGGGCAAAACAAAATGGCGACCCGCGTAGTTCTGCTCGATTCGAAAAGTTAAATAGCCGTAGCATCTTTGTAGACGACCAAATTAATTTACTTTTGTGTTTTAACATCAGTTTTTAACTTTGTTTTGGTCAATTTGATCGTCCACACCGATAGACATTATTCAGAAAGAAATAGAGAGAGCACAGCGGTTATGGAGCGCCCATTTAGTTTCGGCTGGCGCGAGGCAAACAAGCCCGCGCTTCCCCAGGTCACGGGGTCATTTACCTGCGCCGCCGGGGATTTCCCTAATCAGCCGAACACCGGCAGCGCTCTTGTATTTTTTGCAAAGTTTACCAGCACAGTGAGCCAAAGCTAATGTAAGATGAATATTTTAATAAAGACCACGTAAATATTCAACATATTAAGGAAGAAAATGAAGAAATCGGAAGAACATGGTACATTACACTTAAAAGCTGTGAAGTTCTCAAAAAGGGGACTTAATTTGATAAATGTGTCATGGGTAATCAATTATAAACATCGATTTAAATATGATTGCCCCCAACGGATTCAATCAAATTTGCACACAGGACTGAGAACATAATGAAATTTGTACTGACAAAGGGGCATATGCACGAAGTTTCTGGATCCGTAATTATTCAGGTTTGAAGTTGATTTTTGCAATACTCTTGCTTTGCGACCTTGTTTTTTCATAGCGATATCCACGATACATGTAACTACAGAACAGATCTTTTCTTGCCGATACACTTATGAAAACACAACCTAAACACAAAATACAAAAAGAACACAATATTGCTGGACTGGAGGAATTATCTCATTTTTCCGCTGTAAGCTTTCGTCTTTTGATGGGTGGTGCACACGACAGAGTAGCTCAGGGTGGGTTGGACGTGTTGTGACTGCATGATTGTTTTGACGTGTTTTTCTTTGTCTGTTAGGCCACGGTTGCATGAGTGAGCTCACCCCCTTGCTCACCATGGAAGGCCATTCCAAACCCACATTTTTGTATCCAAGGAACGCAGTGTTTCTCAAGGATGTGTTGTTTGGGGATGACCTTTTCTTTTGATCGATTTTGATTGAGTAGCACGTGTTTTACGGCACTATCGACTCAAGACCTTTTATTTGCCAAATATGTTTCTGTATAAAGACATATATCGTGTGATGCATGACTGAATATGTGGTATTCTCTCTAAAGTGATTGGCTTTCCATGTGCAATTACTGTGTGGATATCTTTGAAGGTGTCTTTTACGTGAACACATTTCTCTCTCAGAACAATTAATGCGGTGTCTATTATGCTTTGATTTCGTGTACATGCAACTGTTCCTTTTGCTAAAAATGATGCTAGCTGTCTGTACACATGGGCTGTGATGTATTTTTGGCAGTGGCTTCCTATAAATGAACGGCTGTGGTAGGCCTGTGGTGTGAGGTTGTGTTGTTTGAGGATGTTATCAAATTCAGAGCAGGCAGGACTTGACCTTGGAATAAGCTCCCCAAACTCTAACTCTGACAGCTGATCATGTACACTAGAACCCTTCCTCTCAAATCTCTCTGCTTCTCGTGGATTATCCGACAAAATCTGACAGCCCTGTAACAATTGAATGTCCTCGTTTTTTTCCAGCCCTCTTTCATTTTTTGCCGTAGATATGCACATTTTGTCCTATTCCAGGCGTGCAATTCTCCATAGATTGATGGGCCAGCTGTACATCTATATCATGTGCAGCCTCCTCAAGAAGGCGATGATGTTTGAGCACAATGCCCACCATATGATCATGTTGAGTGTGGCTCTCCATGACAAAAATATTGTTAAAATTGACAACGAAATTCAGATGTAGTAGAGGCAAGAAAACTAAAAACAGCAAGGATGAATGTTCAGAGTGGTGGGTTGATATTTTTTAAAAATCACAGAAAATCATAGAATAACTTCGTGCATTTGAAACTTGCACATGTAAATGAAAATTGTCCCCACAGTTGATACATGAATTTCTGTTTAAATCGTTGGGGGCCGGATTGATATATCTAAATCCAAACTGAAAAAGTTCTAAACATTGAAGATGCCAGTTTGAAAATCACAGACTTACTTAAATCCCTTGTAAAACTGATATAATCGGACTTACAAGAAAACAAGTTATACCGGCCTACAGGTCAAACATAGCACGTTACAATGAAATCTCAATCGGCCTTGTAGCATTTATAGTTTCAGACTTAGGAGACTTTCAATTCGCACTAAAACGCCATATTTACTACTGCCCCGGCACAGGAGGAGTGACGCTGCGGTCACCCCAATTAACCCCTCTGACAAGTGATTTATGACTACGCGCTGGGCTGTCGGGCGGGGCGGGCAGGGTGGTGAGGATGGTCGGGGAGGAACTGGGGAAGGAAAACTAAGTGAGCGGTCTGGACGGTATTATATCCGCTGTGAGAGAGAAGAGGGGAGAAGTAGATCTTGCGAGAACTTCCAGGCAAAACAAAATGGCGACCCCCGTAGTTCGGCTCGATTCGAAAAGTGAAATAGCCATTGCATCTTTGTAGTCGATAAAATTAGCTTACTTTTGTGCTATAACGTAATCTTTTCTTTGCCTTTATCCATTTGATCATCCACATCAATAGAAAGTATTCCTAAATTAGGAAAAACAGGTCTTGTTTCACACAGGGTGAGAATAGCCTACGGTGGCAAGTCTCACCCGGGGTGAGAGGTCGATCGTATTTCTATTCTCACCCCGGATGAGAATAGCCACTTCCATTTATAAATGAAATGGGATTGGATGGTGCAATGGGTATGTCCTATCTTTTTTTCCCCCTTGTTCCTGATGGTCTTTCTTGCTCTTTACCTGCATAAACTGGCTGTTACTGTTATCTTTGACATATGCTTCTTTTTACTCTGCATCAATACTTTCTTTATCTTTCTCTCTGTCCACTTTTTCCAGAGCTCTTTTTTCCTGTTAACTTAACATTTCTTTTGGTCTTCAGTATTTGAATGTCAATACTTTGCATGGGATGAATGTAATTGTAATGAGAGTCTAAATGGCTAATATATTGGCTGTATTTGATCACGATAGAAGATTTTGCAGAGAAATGGTTTTGGTTTAATCACATGGAGAAGCTAATAAACAAAAATCATAACTGCTTTCTCGCTTCGTAATAATAGGAGGTAAGGATGCATGTCTTTGACTTTCCTTAACACAGAATGTAGCAAAGCTGTTGATTTGATATTTTTTAGCACTGTGACCTTTTAATTCATTTTAAGTACGAATTCTTTGATAATGATACAGTACTCTATCAAGGTTACCAGGCTTTTTTTTTTTTTCTTTTTTGAATTTAGATTTGGAATCAGTATCACAGCACTAAAGATTGCGTGTTTGCCGTCCTGAAGGTAAGCTGTTATCTTAACGACCTTATTTTAGTGGTCATGAGAACCTAATCATGTTTCTTTTTATGCTCCCCATGGATTAAGATTTTAAAGGTTTCTCTTCAGCTACTGTTGTGTCAAAAAGAAAGTCAGTCAGTACAAACAGATTGAGGATTGTTTTTTTGTTAATACGATGAATATTAATGAGTTGCATTGAATAATTAAATATTGAGTAGGCCTATTATGTAGACCTATTATTTCAACTGGCAAGGTGCACTGCCGGTGATAATGCCAATATAGCACGCTCATAGTGAAATCTTTGGAGTGCGGAGCTCTTAAAGTTATGTGCAAATTTTGCAATATATTTGTTTAGGTTACAAAGAATGCACATCATCGCATAGGCTAAGACAAAATTCTGGCGCTTATATGACCTTATGCAGTTGCGAGCGCCGTAAAACCCTCTACTATAAAAAAATAAAAAAATAAGACAAAATTCAGGACGTGAAAATCTATTTGCTGTTTACACACTAGACAATGTTGTCTCAATGTTTCTGTCACATACAGTGAACCGTGTTCCTGCTTGTTAGGGACAATCTACAGTCGAACCTGTGTAAGACGGAATCGCAAGGGAGCCCGAAAAAAATTATGTCTTAGACATTTTCCGTCTTAGACAGGGGTATTTAGGGGGAGATGGAGGGGGGGGGGGGTTCAAAGGACCAGCCGGTGGGATCAAGGATCGCTTGTCCTATCGGCAAGCAGTGGTCAAAACTTCACACCTCTGAGCTGCTATCCTCTCTGATAATGACATGCGTCAGTCTTACTTATCCAATTACCACCAGTGCTTACATTTCATAGGACCACTGTTTGACCTATTAAAACAGGAACGTCTGAATATCTCCTTTGCTTCCACCCTTAGCCCCACCCACCGATGCCACCCTTCACTGCCATCATGTAACAACGATTCGAGGAACTCTTTTCTCGGTTGGCATTGGTCAATCTAATTTCACACCTCTGGCTTCTGGCTACCCAAGAAAGTTTCCGTAGTGGCTCGCTACTCGAGCACTCTCACGGGCAGTCATGAGATTTCACACCCACACTACACTGACCATCTGCATCACTCAGGGCTCACATGATGGGGTAACATCTACCCCCAAATTGCACCCCTTCTCCCTTTCTTTGGCCAGCGGCATAGCCATTGCGTTAAGTTTAGAGCCAACGGAACCAAACTTGCGAGTTTTGTTTCAAATCAGGGCTCAAATCAAAGCATTTTCCGTCTTAGACAGGTGAAACCCTCGGAAGGGAGCAGATTTTTCTTTCCATTTCCGCGTTGGACAGGTTTCCGTTTTGTACAGGTAATTAGAGAGGAATATATCAAGGGGGGAGCGGGGAGATTCCGTTAAGACAGGTTTCCGTTTTATACAGGTTTCCGTTAAGGCAGGTTCGACTGTATTTCTTTTTTTCTAATACGTTTGCTCTCATAGGACACATATTCTTTGCAGATCTATTATAGCAAAAGCCTTTGAGCATTAATGTGAACCAAGAAGCATTTTTGTCTCCATAATATAATATATGTCTATACTGAGACTCATAATCCTCTCAGTTGCTTTTGTTAATATCCAGGTCTCTGCTCCATAAAGCTTATGATTGTTTTTAAATGCTAATCCCAATTCATGTGGTTTTGTCAAAGGTTTTAGCCGTCATCATGTCATTATTATGATTCTTTCCATCAGGCTGATGAATTTGAGAACCTAATTGAGAAGTCAAAGGAATGTCCCGTGGTGAGTTATCATGATGTCTTGTGGGGGAGCATCTCCAGCTTTTATGGTGATTTTTGCTGTTGTTCAAAATGATATTGTAATACTGAAAAAAAAAAAAGAAAAAAGAGAGACAGATTGAGAGATCAGAACACTGTACCAGATATTTTTCTGATGTTTTGTGAATATGTTCACTATGTACTTTCAATGAAGTGTTGATTTATGATTTCACTTCAATTAAACTTTACCTATTGTAGGGTTTTTGTTTGTTTGTTGGTGG